AATGTGTCTATAGTCGAATATATATATATATATATATATATATATATATATATATATATATAAGTATGCTGTATGCATGCAAACGAATCCTACCATCTGATTCCTCGCAAAATGTCAAAACAATGGCAAATTTTCAAACGTCTTTATGAATATCACTATTTGATTTTGAGATGCTTCTATCCAATACTTGAGATTCTTTTAGGATTCCACGATTTATAGATATTTAAGATTTTGATTTGATTTGATTTCAATTCAATTATTTTTTTTATGTTTCAAATTTTTTAGATTTGACAAAATTAAAATCATTGTGCTGTTGTTGTCTTGGATCTTGAGTTCTTTTTTTTTTTAGAAATCGTTTTTTTTTGCTATTTTTATTAAAAAATAATTATTTTATAAAAAAAAGTTAGTTATCTTTAATATTTTTAATTCTCCTTATATTCATTATGAGATTGATTCGGACTATAAAATTCAAACTCCATTTCCCACCAAACTATTTTTTATCTAAAGATTTTATGATATAATAGTAAATCATTTGGGAAAATGCGACACTTGGAAGAAATTAATATAGATTTATCTTTTCATTTCCTTTATTAAAAGAAATTGGGTTGAAAAAAGTAAACGAGGGGAGGCTTTTTTGCATGTTAATGAGACCAAACTGGCTTTTTGTTTCCTTGGGGACTAATAAAAGCTTCCGCCATCGGATCCATCTGGAATTTCAATTTTTTAAATTTTAAATATTTTTATTATTTTTTATTTAGCTCGCGAGAAAGATTTTCTGTTTTCGTAAAAACGGGCCGCAGCCCAACCGAGCCCAAAACAGACGGGCTTGAACCGATGTGGTGGCCCACATCCCTATTTCTTCAGATAATGTATGCATCCGGAGATGATGTACTAATTTAGTTGGTACAAGCCCAGGAACATGATGCGTACAAAAAGATTCACGTACTGATTGATTTCTCAGACAAAAACTGGTTGATTTCAGGGGAAAAAAACATTTGCATCATACAATTGATACTAATCTAATTTTGTCATATTCTTATTCGGTGTTCGAATCTGATATTATATAATCCAAATATTAATATTCTCAGAAACAGTTCACGTTGGATGCAAAAAATGTGAACAAAACATGGAAGCACGAATACGTAAGAACGAACTGTCGGGTGCCCAAAATTGTTAGGGTACCTAATTGTAAATGAGCAAAATCCAATGTTTTCCAAAGAATACCTGGCTGTTTATCATACAAATACATACATATATATATATATATGTATATATGTATACGCATCTAAAAAAATGATTACCAAGTTCTGTTCGCTAATTTAGCTATCAGATCAGATTTATCCAGCTAAACTAAAACCCTTCACTTGTATTTGGTAGCTCCATCTTCTGTTTATCTCTTCGAGCCATTGGAGCTGTGAACAAAGCAATGCATATGTATAGCACACTCGATAAAGCAAGGTGGGTGTGTAACCTTTCTTTAAGGTGTCCAAGGTGATGGCGGTGGAGGCGGAGTCGGGAACATTGGAGGAACGGCTGAGAACATCGTGTTTTTGTCGATGGATCCGGAATCTTTATCGCCCGATAACGCCACAAGGGCGGCGACAAGACCAGCGTTACCAGCAAGGGTAGGTTCGGTATAGTTGTAGTTGTTACGGACGTCATGGAACCGGTCGCGCTTGTCAGGACCAGCGACCATGGCTCCGACGATAATGTTCGGGTTCGGCATTTTGCTGTCCCTCCATTTCCATCCTCCTTTGCAGCTGTATCGGTTTCTGTTCTTGGGAATTGAAGCTCCTCTGTGATGCACACGTTTCGGGTAGCGTTGGCCAAAACCCACGATGTAACTCATGCTCTGAGGGTTTTTACCGAGGATGTAATCGATCTGCAAAAACAAGACGGGATAAGGCTATTGCTCGGTATTATGCGAAGGCAGCATCAAGAATGATGATACCATGGACGAATTATTACCTGAGATCTGGCAAATTTGCGTAGGACGTCCGTAGGAAAGAAACTAGGTCCACAGTACCATCCGGGAGTATCGGTAGCATCGAGATAATCGCTGTACAGTGTGGCTAAGAAAGCTGCATTTGCAGCATATTGGAGAGGCTGTGGATATCCATAGTTCAGTTGGATCAAGCCTCCTGCAGAGATCAAGATAATGCCATCAATATTCCACAAGGTCAATGCTCAATGTCTGTACCCTTGAACCAACGTTTGAAACATTTTAGCAAGAACAAAGTTGCAAAAGAAATTCATCCACACTCAAAATTATAGCAAACAGTAAATAACTTACCTGATGTTCTGTTAAATTTTCTGAAATATGGCAGATATGAGCACATAACTACGCCGGTTTGTTTATGGAAGGACCTCAGAATTTCTTCATACGGATATCCAGGGCTCAAGAACAGTCTCAGCCGGCTCAACAGCAACTAAAAGCACAGGAAAAAAGGGGGTATGACGCTGATCACGATCATGCGAAACAATATACTCCTCGAAACATATCATGTTGGCTAAACTCGCAGAGTCAATGGACAGAATGCCATAAAACCAAATATGAAATAAACACATTTAATTATCATCCCTTGTTTAGTTATGCCCGGAGTAGACAGGGAAGGTTTCCAAAAACCAATCTGTCTTTTGTGTGTACTTCTTAAACCCTCAAGAAAAAGGACATAATAAGATGTCTATAAGACTAACCTGAGCGCCAGCAAGTTTGTTGTCCCAACTAAAGACACCATAGTATGGGCCATTCCAGAAGGCACCAGCGTTTTTGGCCATATCGGGATTCGTGATTAGCTGAAGGTAGGTAATGTTTCCAGTAGCATAATATAACCAAGCCCCACCCCAGATGAGCTCATCCCAATACATGGTTGAATTATAGAACTTGCTAACTTCAGCATTACCAGAACTGTATCTGCCTGTCCGGTCCCTTGCAAATTTATAGAGTGTCTTAGCACCGTGAACAAGCTTCTTCGAATATGCTTTGTTGTCCTTGAAGACAATGGATGCTGAAGCCAAAGCTGCTGCCATCTCTGCAGCAAGATCCGAGCAACCACCATCACATGTAGACACAGGCCTTTTGTAATCGATATCCTCAGGCCGCATCCAGCAGTAATGGTCATCAGGAGTTGTACTTCCTTTATAAGTAGCCCCAGATCCAACCTGTGAAAAAGTTGATAGCTTGTGGTGACAAATTGAATAATTCAAGTAAAACTATACATCTCAACCAACTTAGCAAGGGAAATCAAACTAAGATGTTCAACTAACGGTTATAAAATGTGGAGCCCGCTACAATGTATTACCTGTGTCACGAGATTATCGATTGAATCAGAAGTACTGTTGAAGTTCTTGAGAAAATAATCGGTTCCCCATTTGATGAGCTCTTTGACATGGCTAAGCTTACCAGCGGCTTCGTATTTGGCACTATATTCAATGACACTCCAGCTCAACATGGTCATGGCAAAAGACATGGGGAAGTTGAACTTGATGGCATCTCCTGCATCGTAATATCCTCCAACAAGATCTTTGTAGAAGCTTCCTCGTGTTCCCTTCCCATCTTGCAGGCAAGAATTGCCCCTCCATGACACGTTATTGTACTTTGGTAGTTTCCCAGCTGCAGAAAACAATGGCATTGGAAAAGATATCACACTTGAAAACTCTCTGTCTTCTATTCCCATCATTTTCATCAGTAAGAAGCAAAATTTCTCAGACTAATCCAGAATTATGGTTTGAGATTTCAAAATTCATAAAGAATCATTCAGATAAGCATATGCAACAACGAATTCGACCTCCACAATCAGTATTTATCGTCTCGTTAGGCCCTAGAACCAACAAACTCAATACCAAACGCAAGACAAAATTAGGTCGGATCAGATCATGCAAAAATCCATGCGCCAAACGAGTATTCCGAAGCTACTGATCTGTAAATAAAAACATCAATTCGAGGGTTTTTCGAAAACCTACATCGCTGAGCGTTGAAGAACATGAGAGCCTTGCCGAGAGCGACAGTATAGTTATCCGGCGGCGGGTGCTTGTGGTGGTTACGCGGCACGAATTTCATGATCAATGCAATGAGTCCGGCGAGAAACCCAGCGGCGAGAATCGTTCCGACGGTCCAGATGAAGATCTTGCGGCTGACGATGATACAACCGAGATCAACGTACTTCTTCTTCTTCTTCTGCTCTGACGGACCAAGCAACCAGCTCTGCTGAGTCTCGTCCAGAGGCCGCGAATACGCAGCGTGACCTGCATCCTGAAGATTCCGACTACGATCGTCGTCCGTGGCGGAATCCGCGGCATGGATCTCAAGCGGACCACCCCATGGATCCCGTACGTACATGGCCATACTCGCCGGAGATTGAAAACACGTTCTCTGAACCAAACCTTCCGGCGAGACCGTAGGAGAAAGCGTAGGAGAGAGTGAGAATCAAGGACGGAGTCGAAGACGAAGACAAAGAAGAAGAAGAAGAAGAAGAAGATGGAAAAAACGAAGAACAGCTGTGTTGTGGGTGGCGAAAATGGGGAGTGAAGAGAGGGGAGCCAAGCTCTGCGTTAATAACGTCGCTTGGATTCTTTTTTCTTCTTCTTTATTTACGTATTTATTTATTTTGCAAAGATATACGATCGGCACGGTTGTTTTCCTATATATGCTCCGTTACAGATCGATGCATGGAAATTATTTACATGTTTTTAATTTAATTAATTGATTTAGAATAGTGTGATCTTTTATGTTTGAATTAAATCAATTTTACAAATATTTTCAGATTGGCTTAATTCAAATGTATAAAAATCGAAATCAAATCGAATAAATCAATTTCAAAAAATCTGATATGGATTTTGAATAAAATATTTCATAGTTTTTTTTTACCAATTAAAATACCGAATATCAAACATGGATAAAAAAGACCAAAAAAAACCAAATTGTCCACTTTTCAAACATTAGCCTACACATAACCATTTAATTAATATACACAAATTTAAATGGAAAGAAATCCAGTAATAAAAGGTAATTATATGATAAATCTTTTTATAAAAACAACAAATATTATATATATATATATATATAATAATAAAAAAAGTGAAGCCAGGAATAACCTCAAACTAGTATTAAATCTCAAGATATTTTTCTCACCATAATCTCTAGCTAGTTATTTTTTTAATTAGATATTTGATTTGTAAATTGGTTCATTGAATTTGTGATCCTCGGGTTAAACCAAATAATTTTTAACTCGCTAAAAGCCAAATCAAATCAGACTAAACTCAAAAAATCTGAAATCGAAACGGATTAGATCGGATGGACCCATTTTACATCCCTAATCTTCTATTTTTCTTATTATGTTATAACTGTTTCGATAATAATTTTGTTTCATATTTGTCTTTCTTTTATATATATTCATGTTATTTATTTCGTTTACGTAACATTTAAATGCTCGAGAGGAACCGGAGCGCCAATCTCCTCACCATAATCTCTAGCGCAAACGTTCCAAGCCACTCTGCTTCTCGGAAAACCGACATCGGCGTCATCCTTATATTCATATGTCCTAAAAACAGTGTCGACCAATGCAACGTGGCATGTACGGCCCATCCGCAAGAGACTCACGCAACACTCTCTCGTCACTTCGGTGTCTTCGAACATGACTTTGAACAGCTGTGTTCCGCATTTTGTGCTCATCTTACTCGAACAGTTTTCGAGAAACTCCTTGTATCCGGTCGGAAAATGGGTCAGTAGTTTCTCGTCGTACTCGGCTTGCGGTGGATCGACGAATATATCGCCTTCCGGTGGGTCGGCGACGTAATCGTCGAATCGGTTGACGACGATGTCACGTCCGGAAATAGGAGAAGCGATGAACGTTGTGACGAGCAATGTAAATATGATAGAGAGTTGTGATACAGTTTCCATTTTTTTTTACTTTCTATTATGTTTGTTTTTTTTTCCAAGAAAAAAAAATTGTGTTGAGATTTGATGTTTCTGAGAAGTTTATAGGATGGGAAAAATTTTAATTTCGGTTTTGATGTTGTAATTTTGCTGTTTTAAGTCTAATTAATTGGTGCTTACAGTAACTGATGAGAGAGAAAATAACTTAAATATACAATTAATCTCTTATCGCCTATATATATATATATCTCAATATACATTTCCTAAATCAAGAGTATAATATTTGGATACCTTTATATTAATTTTAACCATCATACACCACAATATATATATATATATATATATATCTTTATTACATCGCCTCCTAGCTCCAACCATACAATACACAAACACAGCCATTTTTTTTAAAGAAAGATTTCCTCCTTACATTTCACATTTCGGCCTTGGTGGGATCTTCAAAACCCGAACCACCACCGTCCACGATTTGAACAACCTTCGGCTGTCTCTTCTTGTCTTCTGGCAACTTCGGAACCGTAACCTTCAAAACCCCGTCTTCAAGACGAGCCTCGACACTGTCCAGATCCGACGTGGCCGGTAGCCTAAACTGCCTCCAGAACTTCCCCGAGGCTCTCTCCATTCTGTGCCATCTCTCTCCTTCTCTTTCTTCTTTATATTCCCTCTTCCGTTCTCCGCTTATCCTCAACACTCTATGCTCCTCCACTTCGATCTTTATATCTTCCTTCTTGAGCCCGGGAACGTCGAGGGTGATGACGTGGCGGCTCGGCGTCTCCTTCCAGTCCGCCCTCGCCAGCGCTAAGGGCGTCTCGGAGATGCCCTTTGGCGGCGCCGACAACGGGGACTGCTCGAGGACCCGAAACGGGTCTTCCGTCGGGATCATTATGTCGAAGAACGGACGAGTGTATGGCATCAAGGCATCGGCTTGTTCGATGGCGAGGAGGAGGAATGCGATGAAGAGAGTGGCGAAGAGCGTGGGGAGTGGCATTTTCGTAATTCCTTGGCCGGAGATCATGGGAAATTTCAAAATGTGGAGACTTTTGGATGATTAAGGGTGAAGTTTGGGCTTAGTTCTTGTAATCTTTTTAGGGTTTTTACACTGTTCTTGGTGATGGGGGTATGTGTATGTATATGTGTGTATATATACACGATGATATGATGTTCTGGAGAGTTCGTGAGGGGTTGAGAGATCAAGGACAATGTAGAGAATGAAATATATTGGACCATTCTGATAGAAAGTTCGAGATATAACCAAACAGAAATGTCTGAAGAACGTCTTTTTGGCTATAGCTACTGATTAATAAAATTTTGGAATATAATATTTATAATTAGGACAAGATATTTCAGTTTTTATTTGAACCGGTTTCAATTTTGAAATATATTAATAAATGTAGTAATATATAAACTCTAATTTCATAAATTAACTGTCTTAAATTTTGAAATATATTAATAAATATTCAAATATATTTTATATAAAATTCACTCAACAAAAGATTATAAAATCTCTATAATTATACGCGAATGTTTTTTTACTATCATGTTAATCATTAACAATTCGACGGAAAATGACAACTAACGACAATTTTTGACATGCGTAATGACGACGTGTAAAAACTGCTAAATCTGTATAAAATAAACTAAGAAAACAAAAAAAAAATTGGATTGGTTTTCATAAAGTCTTGATTTAATACGTTAATTTGGATCGAATTCCAAAGTATTTTACGGATTTTCCTACTCCCTTCATCACATTTGGGCTTCAAGTTCAGGGAGAGAAACGATCTGAGAAAGCCTCATCTTTTGCCTCACACCTCCCTTCACCACCGTAAAACCCAAAATCAGAGCTCCTCATAAACCCTAAACCCTAATTCTTCGAAACCCTACAATGGACAACAATCCCCAATTTCCTCAGGAGGAAACGACCCCAAGTTCCAGCGATCGCATGGAGGAGGATGGGGAACTGCCTCATTCTGCTGAAAATCTCGGCGCCGGAGGAGCTGACTCTTCGTCTTCGGACGATTCCGGCCACTCGGACTCTGAGTCGGAGGATGAAGCGGAGTTGAACCTTCAGATTGAAACCCTAGAGTCAGAGGTCGCAGCCAATCCCTACAACTACGACGCCTATGTCCAAGTAATATCACCTTCTAAGTCTCTCTCGCGTGATATGATGTTTGGGCGAATGAGGGAAAAAATTGGGGGAGAGGCGATTGCAAGCAGTTGTTAAAGCTATTATAGGGAGAAAGTGAATGGAACTTTTCATTGTGGCTAGAAATTCTCAGTATTAATTTCCACTGCTTTTGTGCACCTGGGTATAAAATTGTGTGCACTTAACAACAATGGTCTTGCCGCGTTTCTTGAAAAACTTCTAAGAACTTCTGCGTTCCGTTTCTTCTTGGTGGATGCTTTCTTGCTTAGAAGGTAGTAATTGAATGCCGATTTTTACTCGGAATTAGGTTTCTTAGACTCTGATGGTTCATGAGTCTTATGGATTCTGTATCAAAATTGCACTGTTTTGGTTAGTGTTCTTGATTGGAGCATTGGGCATGGATTTGTTGTTGTTGTGCTACTTATTGAAAATTCTGTTAATTTATGGATTAGATCCTGTATTTTGGATGCTTACTGGGTTAAAGGAATAATTCTGGAAGAAGGTTTAACTGAAGTTTGGCGGTAATATTCTTAAATTCGTGTGCTTTATTTATTTCAGTATATAAAGCTTCTCAGGAAAACAGCTGACCTTGAAAAGCTAAGACAAGCAAGGGAAACGATGAGCGCTATATTTCCATTAAGTCCTTCTATGTGGCAAGATTGGACAAAGGATGAAGCGTCTCTCTCGTCAAGGTAGTATATTTACCATGCTCCATTTGTTAAATTGATCTCATGTGCTTTCTGTGCCGATATTATTCTGGGTTCGAAGTGTTCTTAAACTGTATAATTGTTGCTTGGAGTTTCATCATCACCGTTCATGAAAGTTTCTGGCATGTTGATTATAACACGATAACTTCGGTTTTGTTTCCTTTTTCTTTTCTGCAGTGCAGATGCTGTCCCCGAAATTGAAAAACTTTATGAACGAGGACTTTCTGATTATCAAGTATGTTTTCTTTCATCTATAAAAATTAATGACTTGAAAAATAATCGGTTTTTGAACCTTTTATTAGATTTTTTTTTTTGTAAAATTAAAACAAGGCTCTATTTTCTGATGCAGTCTGTATCTTTGTGGTGTGACTACCTGAACTTTTTGCAAGAATCTGATCCCTCTGTAACTGGATGTTCACTTGATGGTATTTCGAAAATGAGGAATCTATTTGAACGTGCTATTCCGGCTGTTGGCTTTCATGTTACGGAAGGCCATAAAATATGGGAAGCGTACAGAGATTTTGAACAAGCTATCTTCCTTACTATTGACGAGACCAGCATTACGGTTAGATCAATTTTCCTGGCTCATTTGTCTTCCTTTTAAGCTTTTTCCAATCTATTTTGTCTTTGACTTTTGTACATAACTATAATCTAGTGGTTCCATATTACCCACATTTTTGTTCTTGCAAGTTTTTATTTGGTTTTGAGTCTTGAGAACAACAAGCAGAGCGTACATGCAGCTCTTTGTAGCATGTTAGTGAGAAATAAGTTCTAGAATCATTCTTCTATAAGCTAGTAATAAGAGCCAAGCATGGAATTGTTCTCTTGTTAGTGGAAAAATTATTTAATTCACACTAGTCTTCCTCGCTAAAAAGGCAATGGGAGTGAGAGATGGTCATGGATATCCCCCTTACAGTGTAGATTAGAGCCAGAAGGTGTGATGATCTGGTGTGTTAGCTTTTAATGATACTGCAGGGAACTAAATGACTTATCGGGGGAACTAATCACCTTAGGTTTCACAAATGTTATTGTGTTCACCAAGTTTGATCTCTATCGTTGCACACATTTGATACACTATTTTCTTATCATCCAAGCACCTTAGTGCCATGAGTGTAAATGTCAACGGATTCTTCATTTTCTTTTCTCTGAAGTTGATTACGTATGTTTCTCGATTACTTATGGCATTATAATTTAGGAAAGGTTTACTTTTTATTCTACAGGAGAAGGAAAAGCAAATGCAAAGGATTCGAAGCATATTTCAACGGCAGTTGTCTGTCCCTCTAGCAAACTTGAGTTCTACACTTAGTGCTTATAAGGCTTGGGAGGTAGAACAGGGTGTTGACCTTGATGTTGAATCTGATGATTTGAGCAAGATTTCCCCTCAAGTTGCTGCAGCATACAAAAAGGCATCGAATATGTATAATGATCGCACCCATCTTGAAGAGCAGGTTTCCAGGAAAGATTTATCGGAAGCTGACAAGTTTCAGCAGTACCTGGTATGTGCAATCTGTCCTGTATGTCATATATAGATGTTCTCGAGAAATTGGATTTTAACTTACCTCTGATATGCGATCATAAGAGATGGCTGTGTATATGGTTTCCTGTTTATCTATTTCAGCATGTTATTTGTTGTTTGTTTTATTTATTTAATTTCCCTTTTCCTTTGATGTGTTTAGTTGGCTTTTGAGATGGAAAGATGTTATCTTTTTCGTAAGTGTATTATTTGGATTAAAAAAGTGCGCCTTTTTAGCGCCTGAGGTGCAGATGCGCATAAGCTATGGGAAAATCGTATCATGTGCCAAAATTCAGGCTAGTTCCATAAAGCGGCTGAGAAGCGCACTTTATTATATGGCATACTTGAAGCGTGATGCGTCGCCTCATTGGAAAAGGCAATTAAAGAGGGAATTAGAAAGGGCGTTAAAGACAATTGATTGCCAATTTGTCATAATTGTCTTTGACTGCTCTTCGATTTTCCTGTTATATGATATATATATAGTAGCAATAGATTTATCTGCTCAGTTTCTCTCCTTAGTCCTCATTTCTCTCTCCTTAGTAGCGGCACAACAGGTGTTACATGGACTCTCTTGCATTTGTCTGTTTTGCTTTATTTTTTTTACGTGTAATAATGGCACATATTATTAATATGCATACTAATACTATATAACCAAAACAAAATTTCATCCCTTTCATAATTGATCTGTGAGATAATTGAAGAACCAAAATTGAGGTTTAAAGTCAAATTATTTTGACAAGTTTTTTTATTTATGCGCCTCGCATCCATGAGGTGCGCGCCTTCACATCGCACCTCGGTTTTTGGGACCTTTTGCGCCTTGAGCCGCCTCGCACTTTTTTAAACTAATGTTTGTTGTTTTTTGTAGAACTATATCAAGTTTGAACAGACTTGTGGAGACCCTGCCAGAGTTCAAGCTATTTATGAACGTGCTGTGACGGAGTTTCCTATTTCAAGTGACCTTTGGATAGACTACACTCGTTATCTCGATAAAACTTTGAAGGTCTTCCCTCTATGACTGTATTCTGGTTTTTTGGTTTATGTTATATTTTCTTGAAAGAGGTATGTATGCTCGTTGAATTTCCACTTTACTATGGTTTGTTTAATGATGTTAACTGAGTTGCACCTTGACCTTCTCAAATCAGGTTGGGAAAGTCATTAAAGATGTTTATTCTAGGGCTACTAGAAGTTGCTCATGGACTGGAGAACTCTGGGCCCGATATTTACTTGCCTTGGAACGTGGTTCTTCTTCTGAGAAAGATATTTCTGCTGTAAGTTTCAGTTGTTGAGTTGCAAAGCAAAGTAACAGAATGTTTGAGGGCGCATAATTCTAATCACATACTTTTTTTTAAGGAATTTCCAAGAAGTTTTAGTAATATTTCTTTTGTTTGCTTTGGCCAATGCTTTCAGGTCTTTGAGCGATCATTGCAGTGCACTTTTTCCTCTTTTGAAGAGGTAAAATATATAAAACTTGTCCTTGTTTTATTAGTTCCCTTTCCCATTCTTATTTTGTTAGTCTATCTTCTCGGTAATCATAGCTATTCCTTGTCAGTACCTGGATTTGTACCTCACTCGGGTAGATGGGTTGAGACGAAGAATGTCATCATCTAGTGGACTAGAGGCTTTAGATTTTTCTCTCATAAAGGAAACTTGTCAGGTTTGTATACTGCTTTTACTTCTTATAGTTCTTGATCCAGCTTGTTGAAGTTTGTCTTCTTTGTATGCCTTTCATTGAGTGGCATACTATGGTTATCTGATAACTAAATTGTAACATTGTTCCAGAACCGTAGTCTATTTTTGTTTAGCCTCCGGGCTAATTAGGAGGTTTTTTGAATTCTATGAACTGACATAAATTTTCTGGCAGCAAGCATCAGACTACTTAACGCAGCACATGCAAAATACGGATGGTTTGTTGCGTTTGCATGTTTATTGGTCTAACTTGGAACTAAATTTGGGGAAAGATCTAGCTGGAGCTCGAGGTGTTTGGGAAAGCTTTCTGAAGAGAAGGTTTGACATTTTCTGTGTGAAAAAATGTTGACATGTCATTTCTTTCCTTTCCTTTTCATTTTACATACAAATTTTAAATAAAAGTATTAGATTCATAGATTATAACGTTGGCCAGAATAAGGAAAATTCAAAAGAATACTTTATTGCATTTGGTTTTGGTTCTTTATAGTTTCCTATTGGGTTTCCCCCTCCCAGTGGTTCTATGCTAGCAGCCTGGCAAGGGTACATAGATATGGAAGTGCGGTTGGGACATATAAAGGAAGCTAGGTCAATCTACCGGAGATGCTATACAAGAAAATTTGATGGGACTGGTTCAGAAGTATGTGCCATTTTCCTTATGTTATGTGTGCTTGATTTCAATAGAGGAATACATACGTGATTGGATTGGATCCTTTGTCAAGCTTTTCTTCTTTTCTCTCATGCAGTCATTCCTTGAAAGTCATCGAGTAAGAAGTTTTAGGTTTTTTCTTATAAGATCAATCAATTCATAAGATTGAATGATGGGCTCCGAGGCTGGTCTGATGCTCTACAGAATAAATTTTTAATCTGTGAATCGCTTCAATCATCAAATGGTTGAGTTTGAGTATAAGTTCACAATTGTTTGATTTAGCATCAATAGGCAATCCTGAACTAGAACTTAATTTCTAGAAGTTAAAATGGGTATTCTGAGCTATTGCAATACTCTTCATGGGCTCGAGCATACTCATATGGATCAACTTGCGGTTTCAGTACCAGTACCCTATGAGATTGTCCTTCTGCCGTGATCAATTTGGTTTTAGATATTTTAACTGTGGTAATTGCTTTTGTTATTTTCTGCTTTGGTGAAAGTACAAGATTTGTTATTGAATCCTCACGTGATTTTTTAATTTCAATTTTGCTTGTATTGTATAGGATATATGTCATGGATGGTTGCACTTTGAGAGGGAACATGGCACTCTGGACGATTGTGATCATGCAGTTCAAAAGGTATTGTCTTTAACCCGTTACCATACGTTGAATATTAATGAATCTCACTGGAGTCAGACTTCCATGACACGATGCTTTTAATGAAACTACATAACCTAAAGATTACATTTTTGATTGATTTCTTAAATTCATATGACATACATTATCTACCAAACTGCATTTCATATCTGAAAATCTGTGCCCTTATATGTGAATTTGATAGGTTGCACCACGCTTGGAGGAGCTACGGTTATTAAAGTTGCAGCAAGAGTCCAAGTCACTCAAGCCACCTGAGAACCTGAAAAAGCATAAACCACAAAAGAGTGTGCGTGAGAAGAGAAAGGCAGGACCAAATGTAGATGAACAGTCTCCGGCCAAGAGGCCCAAGAATAAGGGTCAGAAAATGAAGGAAACAGAATTTGAGGCACAGAATGTAGCTGAACTAAACAGAGACAAAATGAAAGCAAGGAGTGAGACAGCCGCTGACTCAAACAAAGAAGATTTAAAAAGTGCCAAACCTGTGAAACCAAAGGTTTATACAGATGAGTGTACTGCATTTATATCGAATCTCAATCTGAAGGTAATTCAGCATTTCTTCATATCAGATGTTTGGAATCAATCAAAATAGTCTGATGAAATAAATTATTGCTTTAGATTTACCAAACAAGCTTGCATTGCTGTTGCAGGCGCATGAGGAAGATATACGAAGATTCTTTAGTGATGTTGGTGGGGTTGTCTCTGTTCGCATACTCCATCACAAAGATACTAAAAAATCAAGGGTCTCTCTCTCTCTCATTCTTGTAGATTCACCTTCTTTCATTTTACCTGCATATGATCTCTTTCCTTTCTTCTGCTGGCATCGAAATAAAGTGCTGTCATTTATTTAGAGCTCATATTGCCTGTTTCCCTTTGAAATTGTGCTGGAGTCAAGTTTTCATCTTATATTCTCTTATGGGAGTTCTGCAGTGGAAGTGAATAAAGGCAAAACCTTCCATCAGACGGTATCATGTCTGACGTAGTGTATTCATTTTAATAGCTTTTAGGTCAACACGCTGTTACTAGCTTGGCTAATTTTGTTTAGTCGATTCAAACTGGGAACTATGAAATTTTCAATTAAATTATCTCTGGCTGAAGATTAAGTCATGTGCTGTTTTGACAGGATTACGTTTCAATATGAACTTCAGATCTTGTTGTGTGAAAGTTCTCTGTTGTGGTTAGTGCATGTTTTCTAGTATTGGTTGCATTTTGCCTGATTGTTACTTATTCGTTGTACCGTCTTGCATTGATTATTTAAAGGGACTGGCATATGTCGATTTTGCGGATGATGAGCACCTCAATGCAGCAATAGCAAAGAACAGAAATATGCATATGGGTAAGAAAGTCAGCATAGCACGCTCAAACCCGAAGAAGGGTAGAAAGGAATTTACTGGTCGCAGTGGTCCTCCTGAACATGGTATGCAAAATCTTATGATTCATCTCTCTTTTCTGTTTTCCAATGTGATCTTTATTTATCCTTTTAAATCCACTACAAATATCTCATGCATGCCTGAATGTGTTATTATTGCATCGGAATCAATTCCTGTTAGATATATATTTACATTTCTTGTGTATCTTTTCTTCTAACTGATTTGAAATGTGGTCGTAGGATCTGGTTCTGGGAACTCAAAGGACATGTCCGAGACTTCTGAGAAGTCTAAGGCATTTCCTACCGGAGGAGCTGTCGACAAGCAAGGAGACAACATCCCGCTGAGGGGAAAAAACACGTTTGCTGTACCGAGAAACGTTAAACCGCTCGGATTCATGACAGTCAAAAGCAATGCAGATGAGACGGAAGAAGACATGAAGCCAAAATCTAACGATGAATTCAGGAATATGTTCCTTAAGAAATGAGGCTTGCCCCGTGTTATACTTGGTGATGAATGATGAAAACGAGGGCGAATATGAAAATATGGAATGTAAGAAAGTCTGTTCCAAATTTCTGACAGACGGAAGAATGAAGACTTCTACAACTGTTTCCTTTGGTTTTGTCCCGTAATATGCATACATGTGTGTATCCTGAGATCAAGTTTTTGTTTGTGCCCAGAAGAAAAAGATTAGTTTTTTTTTCCTCATTGTACCGACCGATCTATAACAGAGACTGTCGAGGAGGAAGGAGTTGACCTCATCCCAGTTTCTACAGAATCAAATCTTTGCAAGCATGTGATCAGGTAGGTGTTCAAATACATCAATTTTTTGCATTTTAAATCATGTTCTAATACATAAATTTTTAAGGAAATTTGACAGTTCGAAATGATGTTATATTGGTTAGTAAATTTGGGGTAATACAATTCCAAATATATAAACACAAGTGGGTTGGTAGTTAAACAAAGTGATGGCCAAATTAAATGCTATAACAACGTAGAAATCATTTTCTTCCATGTATACTTTTAAAATATGAGAAATATGTCTTAGAACAGTTCAAAAAAGCTAACCAACTAGCCATCCTACATTTTTATGACAACCAACTAAAATATTCATAATTATTATCGAAATCGCTATTTAATCATATATTTGTATGTTTACAGTATACAGTTTAATCCTTGTTAGAAAAATTTTCTCTTTCAATGGTCTTCATGAAGACAGACGGACTAAAGACATTGATCAATCCGAAACACATGGTCTCGTCTTTTTCGGAAACACTAGCTCGGGGTTTCGTCACCCGATTCATGGGACGGTTCATCTCAACCGGTTGTGTTACGTAAGTAACCTCGATGTGGATATTTCTCCGTTGCTAATGTCTTTTCTTGTCGATCGGAATCATAACACGTTTTCTTCCCTTCTGTCCCTCCTGATTGGAACTGAAAGATTACTAGAAGAAGGAGGAACAATGTTCACTTTCGTAGGGAAACACCCTAAATGTGCCTTGAAATCTGTTCTGAAGATTCACAGTCAGTTTTATTGGAAGGTGATTACAGAGATGAATTCATATTTGTGTGACTAAATAAATAACGTGAAGGGTTCTTCCACGGCTCACTCAAGAATCGGATTCTTGATTTTTTTTTTTTCCAGATAATGACAGAGGCAGACTTAGGCTAGGCGGATGCTTATATCAATGGAGATTTTTCGTTCGCTGATAAGGAAAACGGGCTTCTGAATTTGATCATGGTAACATTTCCACCAGACAGAATCTTTCTTTTTTTTTTTTCTTTCTGATTCGTTCTGAGCGTTTGCTTACAGATTCTCATAGCTAATAGAGATTTGGACGCCTGAAATCGAATGTTTCGAAGAAAAGGTGATGCTCCATCTTTCAATGACCGCAACTGTAAGCTCGGTGTTCGAATTGTCGCTTGAATTTTGCTTCTTCCGTTTTTTTTCTGTTTGATCTTTTAGCGGTTGGTGGAGACCGATCTATTTCACGGCTGGTTTTGCGTCCGCAAAGTACTTTCTAAAGCATGTTTTCAGACGGAACACATTAACACAAGCTCGAAGGAACATTTCTCGTCACTCGACGAACTTTTTCTCAATATTTTTAGTCTAAACCTCACTTCTTGATGTCTGGGTTCATCCACAGAGTAATAAGCTCTTTGCTTTGTTTCTGGATGAGACGATGACTTACTCTTGTGCAGTATTTAAGGTGACTGAAAACTTCGAGGGGTTTCTCTATTAAAGCCAAAATATTAGATGCTTTCTCCTACTCTTCTCTGATTCTGATTCTATGATATACGTTTTCGTGCGTTCGTAGTCGGAAGATGAAGATATGAGAATCGCGCAAATGAGGAAAGTCTCTCTTCTTATTGATAAGGCAAGTATAGTACTGTTGCTTGAACAATCTTTATAAATAATACCGAAGAGAACTTTGCGGTAAGTAATGTGACTGAACATTTCAGGCGAGAATTGAGAAGAACCACGAGGTTTTGGAGATCGGATGCGGATGGGGAACTTTGGCTATAGAAGCTGTGAGACGATTTGGATGCAAATATACTGGCATTACATTATCAGTCGAACAACTTTAATATGCTGAAGCAAAGGTGAAGGAATATGGGCTTGAGGTGTGTATAATAACCTTCGAAAAATGTTTTCGAGACCGTAACATTAGCAGAATAACCAACAGAAAAATGTCATCTTAATTTCAGGATAGGATTACGTTTCAACTCTGCGATTATCGACAACTATCTGATTCGGGCAAATATGACAGAATCATATGCTGGTAGGAAAAAACTCATCTCTCTCTGTTGTATAAATTATGCTTACCCGAAAAATACGCTACCGAGATATTTCAGCGAGATGTTAGAAGCGGTTGGACATGAATTCATGGAGACTTTTTTCAACCGATGTGAGTCTTTGCTTGCAGAAGATGGCCTTCTTATTCTGCAAGTAATGAAGTCCTCATTCTCTCGTTGTTTTCTTTAAAAGTTGTGTTTTCCCGATCTTAGCGGGTTTTTGTTGTTGTTTTGGTGTCAGTTCATATCGATACCCGAGGAACGTTACGACGATTCTAGACTGAGACCAGATTTCATATCAGAATACATCTTCCCTGGTGGATGCCTTCCTTCTTTGGCTAGAGTAACATCAGCAATGACCTCTTCATCGAGGCTATGGTAAATCTTCCTCTTTTCTAGTGTAAAAAAAACTTCACGTGAAATCGTCGTTATCCGCATCTGAGATCGGGAATATGCAGCATCGAACAGGTTGAGAACATCGGAATCCATTACTATCAGACCTTGAGATGTTGGAGACAGAATTTCTTGGAGAGACAGAAGTAAAAAAGCTCTAAATCTTTTTGTCGTTCGTTAGTTGTATCCAACAGTTTATCTGTTTTTATTCACATTGAAAAAACTGATATCCGTGCAGACGAATCATGGATCTCGGATTCGACGAAAAATTCATCAGAACGTGGGAATATTACTTCGACTATTGCGCGGCTGGTTTCAAGGCCCTTGTCCTCGGAGACTACCAGGTACCAAAAACACATTTGATCCCCAAGAAACAAATCATTTCTGTGAAATATATAGCTCGATTAGGTGTAACATTTTTCACGAGTTCGCGACTTGCAGGTGGTGTTTTCTCGTCCTGGAAACACGACTCTGTTAGGAGATCCGTACAGGAGCTTCCCTTCGGCCCATTGTTCGTGTCCAAAAACCGGAAACTAGATGAATGTTTCGAGTTCATTAGCATCAAAACAAAACTACTTCACTCTTGAATCTTGGTTGAGGTTTATATTGATATAAAAACAGCCCATTGTTCTTCCTCTCATTGCAAAAAGCTTGGTTCCCGCCAGAAGTTGCAGATAATTGGGACAAAGTGCATCTTTGGCGAATTGTATAAACTATAACTTGTTTCCAAAAAGTTAAACCCAATTAAAAAGGGATATAAGTACACAATCAAATACAACAGCAAAAACACCTACTCAAATAATCAAATGATTTCAAACTTCCTCCCTCAAAGTCCACAACAAAAACTGGGGAAAGTCCCAATTTACAGAGATGAGTGAGCAGAGACATATAATTCTATAGTTCAGGTTTGGTGAGATCCTATAACTATAATACAACAAGTTTAAAGAGTGATCAAAAACTGTATTTTTTTCCTCTTCAGATGAATAAAACGGAAATTAAGAGGCAGTATGGGTCGTTCTCGTATCAAGAGTTGGAAAACTGACCCTTTCCACGAGGCTCGTGGTAGTTGGATTGATGCATTCACTCAGAAGATAGTTTATTCATTCTCCTCGTCCATGTGGCATATCCGAGGTCGACCTGGGTTGAGCAGAGATTCCGACATCGTCCAACCCTACAGATATGAAATGTGTTCAGAACAGAATTACCCATTACACTTCGCATTATGTGTTGTAACATGATTTACACAGGTGTTTGTAACTAAAACAGCATCACAGTCAAGAAACTAATTTGTAAACTGATGGTCGAATTATCAGTTGGTTGAAAAATAACCAATATACAACACGTAATAGATTTGGGAAGGTTTTCAAGTTGAAAAGTTTCAGTTACCTGTTCTGCAGCCCTCCTCTTAAAGATGTCGTATGATGTTGAAACCATTTCACATGACTCGGCTATGTGCGATTCAAGCTCAGTTATTGCAGGAGCAGGATCTGATTGCTTCCGGAATTTTGATGTTCCATCACATGATTGGTTCATAGAATGAAGAAGAACATGGGCCTAAGATATAGACGGAATATAAGAATTTAGGCCGAGTTCATATCCTTATTATGTACATGGATAAGTAAGAAATGAATCTCACATGAAATGCTGCTTTCAGAATATCATCTGACTTCGCCTGATTCTTGAGCAATGCAAACACTTTACCTTTGGAAGGGCTGTAGGTCACTAAGTATCTTTCTTTCTGCAACATGGAAGAGGAAACATTCAAACCATAGGCATGGAGGCGACAGGATTAAAACTTGAAAGCCTGATGTTGGATATATGGAAAAAGACATACGTCGAAAAAGGGCTTGACCGCAAGATATGTACTCGGGTCTTGGAACGCATCCTTAAATCTGGATCCTGTAAAAACAGCACAAAACTCCATATAACTCAGGGTTAAGATTTAAGAATAGAATTGTGTCATAAAAAGCTTTAATTTTCCACATGTACCAAGTACCACTGGCCGATCCTCCACCCATGGGAAAGTGAATATTCTCTCCTGCTTATTACCCTCCTGAAGTGAGGGAACATGCCCTGCAGGTGGATATTAAGCTCAATTGGTGTAGTAATGCGACTAAAACTGTGAAACTTTTGGCAAACGATGGTAGAAGGGAGAGAACCAGAGATTTAAGGATGCACTCCTTTGCATGGTTAAACAAGCATATATCCTTACCTGTCTTGAGAAAAGACTCAACTGCCACTGTGAATCTGGCACGGTTTAGAGTGTGTAATACTACAGATCTAACCTGAAAGCGAACCACCACATGCCTTAGTAAACCCTAGAAAAGAGGATGCTTAAAGAATAGTGCCTTTTTGCAACTGAACTGGATTCTAACCTCTTGGTATGAGCTGAAGACGTATCCACATGAAAGAAGAGCAAACGTAGCGACCAACGAAGGATTTCGTTTGGACATCATGATGCTTAGCCCAGTTCCCAACTTCATACAAATAACCAGTCAATGAATACAGAGAAATAAGAAGTTATTAAAACAAGATTTTAAAAGGACTCAAAAGCAAATCAATATTGTACTTTCTTGAACACATCTCACATCCATTATAGTAGGTAATGATTTGAATAACGACTCTAAAATGTCATAACTCATGTCGATTGACCCATCACACTTGAAAACCTGAGAAGAATTTGGAAAAAAATGCAAAATAACATACCAGATCCGCAACATTACCAACGCACTCTCCTTTAGCAGTGACATCCCCTATGTTTTCTCCTTTAGCAAAGGCTTTATAGATGGGTGTACGAGTTGATGTTGATGTTACAGCAGCAACATTCTGTGATAAAACAGTGTCAGAAAAGAATAAATTGTCAACAAATGCATACATTACATGAGGACTATAAAATTAATAAATTATAGAAAATCTACGTTCAATGCAAAGGAACAAATGTTAAACAAAGAATGAAAATGAACATTGAGAAGATGATGAAACCTTGGCCACATTAGCAGCACAAGCCAGAGGAAGGAAAAGGTGTGGCACAGCAGCAGTAGCCAACTCAACCCCAGCACCCAACTCCATTAAAAGATCACCAGCAAACCGTAACTACAAAACAAAGTAGTTAGAAAACGAAATTAAATTAAACTACTGGAATTTTCTTAGATAGATTTATCTTTACCTGCTTCAAATCATAATCAAATTTCTTTCCTTGTCGGGCAAACAACATTTTCCCAACACGCCCAGCACCATCCTGAAAGCATTATTGACTTTCTAGTCAAAAGGAAAAACTTGTACACAGCAGCTCAAGAGAAAAGGGAACTCCTCACACTACATCTACTAGTTCTATAGTTAGATCTGGTAACATGGAAAAACAATCAAAAGTGTTTTAGTTCAAGGGAGGACTTGAATTTGCTAATACTTCAGCACAAGATTCTATCTAGAGTTATCAAATTTCAAGTGTTTCAACAAAGTTAGCACACATAAAGTCAAACAGCCCTTTCATGAGAAAAACTTGCCATTTTCAGAGAGTTAGACCGCCTCTCAGTCTTACCTTGAGAATCCAATTGATCGCGACAGCAGCGGGAGCAGAATTGTTTCTAGAGACTCCAACTGAACTCAAAAGGGTTTGAGTAGTAAAAACACCCATGGCTCCACCGAAAAAGTGCTAAAAAGATCGAATTTCAGTAACCAATACAAGTCATACTCAATGCCAAAATTAGGCGGACGAGATGCAAAGCTGCATCACTTCAGCTTTTCAACACTCAGAGAGGTCATGTGAGAGAATACCTTCAAAGCTCTCCATGTCATGTACGGCACATAGGACGAACTAACAGTATCAGGAAATCCTTCAGGTACCACATAAGACCGCACAAACGACATTACTTCCTGTAAACGGAACTTGGGCAGATTAGATCAGCCTCATTTTTTTCCCGAAAATATGCCTATCCAAAAGCATCGACATGAAAAACAAAAGTTCTAATCATCAAAACCAAGAATCTCAAATGCAAATTCAAATTTGAGTAAATTAGCACCAAATTTTGCCGAAAGAGAGAAGCACCCAGATTAAAACTAGCACTAATCGCAAAACCCAAAAATCCCAAATTGCATATTCCAAGCGAAGTAATACAGCATTATTCTAGAAGCTTTATTCACCATCAACAATCATCATAACGAATCGAAACCGGAATCAGTAGCCTGGCATACATCGATAGGAGTCTGAGGAGATTCCAAGCTTATAGCACGAACCGAATTCCTCTTGAATCTCCCAGAACCATCTCTCTCGGCAACGTACTTCCATCTCCGGCCGTCGATTTCCTCGCAGCAGATCAATCTCAAGCTCGATTTAACAACGTCCGAATCCAGAGGAAGCAGAGGAGAAGCCGCCTGAGCTTGCGGAGATCGACAGTCATCATCAAGTACATGGTCAAGGATCGTCGAGGGCGGAGAAGAAGCCAAAGAGGCGCTTATGCGGAGCGTTAAAAGCTCCTGTTCCCAACGATACGAAGGCAAAAAAGTATAAGGACATTATGCAAAACCCGGCATCTTGAAAAGTGCGATTGAGACAACGATAATTCGAGACGAATGTTAGAAAACCCAAATGACTAAAGACGGAAACCACAGCCACCTGGAATATCAGAGACGGGAACCACTCGATATCGTCGGCATTTCCATCCATGCTTATATACACCTCAGCAGACAAATGACTTTCTCCTTCCTCCGTGAAAATGAGGTCTAACGCATGCTGACGACAGAATGCATCTTTTAATCTGTCGACTGTACTCAATAAGCGTCTCTTCCATTCTCGATGTTCAGGATTACGATTTTGCCTATCTGAAGGCCTTCTTTGGTCGTCCGTTTGATAACCAGCCTGATCAAGAGGAGAGAGCTTCATGGCAGCCCGTGGCAGAAGTTCATCCGCTAAAAACGATGCATTTGCAAGTAATCACCCCCCCCGCCGCTGATAACGGCGGAGACGGCGGAGTCCGGTGGCGATTGTTTTAGCTTGATGCTTGGCATTGCAATGTCGTCTTGTTCTGCTTCTTAATATTCTTTACTTCTTTTTTTTTTTCCTTGGAGGAGAAGAGCTACGATCTCCGGCTAATGTATAACGGAGGACTTGACGGAGAGTTGACGGAGGGAGACGGTTGGCGACAGGTGGGGCTGGTCGCCTAACAATTGGATCGACGGATTATGCGACGAGGGGGGACGTTTTTTTCTCCCTCTTTTTCTTTCCCCACTTAATAAGAGGCACACAATAAGGGGTGCAAAATTAATCTCGAAAATGCTCTCAAAATTCGGATATAATGCATTTAAATTAGATTTGTGGTTGATTAAAAATTAACATATAATATTTGCAGGAATGATTCATTTTATTAAAAAAAAATCAGAATTCTTTCTTTCCATTCACATTTTAAAAGACAAGTTCTTAGCCCATTTGTATTTCCTACTAAAGACAACAAGTAAAGCCCCACGAAACGGAAAATTCCCAATTTTTTCGTGGCTTTTTTAAAAGCTGAAATATAAATTAGTGTAAAAAAAAAAAGCCTTAAACACCAATTAGTAAAATATAATAAAAAAGGGGAAAATGCATAATCGAAGTAAAGGAAATTTATTTTTAGATTCAAAAAAATGCGTCAGCCCCTAACGACGACCATCAAGCAGTGCCAAAAAGGCAAAAACCTCTCAAACGAATGCAATAATCACCACAAACTTCGATCCCACTAGTCTCTCGTGCTGCTACCAGTCTAAAAAAAACCCTAATTCGTAAGAATATGACACTACCACGCTTTTCCACGTCAGATTTTAGTATAATGGATAGGGTTTCCAAATTGAAATCCAATATATATAAGAACAATGATGTGCCTAGGTTTGATTAATTAACTATTTGCCTCATAGGTTTCCATTATTTCAGTTCTTATAGATCATACGTATTTTTTTTCTATTTTCTTATTTTAATTCTTATTAATCGCTTCATTTGATTATATTTATATTTAAAATTGTCCACTCAGACAACATAGGAAAGCAAAACTCTACATGATTATCACTTCAAAGAATAATAAAAGGGTCACCTTGTAACCAAATCAATCAGCCCAAAATATTTACACAACATAAAAACAAAAATCACGAACAGTCTGAGAAATTAAAGAATGTTATCCAAAAACATGGTTAAGAGAAGAAAATGCAATCTTTGGGTAAAATAAAGAATAGCTAGCAAATAAAAAAAAGAATCATTACTAACCTCCTACTCACTCGTCTAATGTACAATGAAGATGCAAAGCATAGGTTCAGTAACTTCCATGAGATCTAACCGATGAAACAGACTGGGCAGAGACCGAGGCGGTCGGGCTGTTGGGTTCTATGCTATTCCCTTTCGATTTTCCGCTCAATCTTTCCATCGCATCCAAACATATCTCGTTGAACCAGTCGTCTTCCGGGAGCTCGCTGTGCAGGGTTTAACAAATAATTCCGGTTCATGATGGAGCAAGAAAAATGTAAAAAAAAAATATATATCTTGTTGCAGCAGAACAGATACCTGTACGGGTCCATCCCTGCTGCAGCAAAAGCAGTCACGGCTTTGGTAATTATCTCGTTAGTGCCACGGTGCAAGTTTCTTGACAGGTAACGACCTTTGGATGCAAAGCACATGACGAATTTCATGTCCAAATACAACTGAAACAGAGAGGCAGTTTCGTTAGATAGGTCGACTATGCATATATATATATATATGTATGTATATAGAGCAAGTGCTCGAACCTGTCGAAGGCCAAGAGGACCCAAAGGTCTAGGACCTTCTTCGATGTCATCCCAGAAGATCTGATCTCCGGAGAGCCATAAAATAATAGTCTCTGTTAGTCTCATCAATAGCGACATTGCGAATCTTTCTCTTCCTTCGAACATATCTCCTGCAAGACTAGCCATCCTTTGAAGTTTCGAAAAAAGCTCCTGTTCCCAACGATACGAAGGCAAAAAAGTATAAGGACATTATGCAAAACCCGGCATCTTGAAAAGTGCGATTGAGACAACGATAATTCGAGACGAATGTTAGAAAACCCAAATGACTAAAGACGGAAACCACAGCCACCTGGAATATCAGAGACGGGAACCACTCGATATCGTCGGCATTTCCATCCATGCTTATATACACCTCAGCAGACAAATGACTTTCTCCTTCCTCCGTGAAAATGAGGTCTAACGCATGCTGACGACAGAATGCATCTTTTAATCTGTCGACTGTACTCAATAAGCGTCTCTTCCATTCTCGATGTTCAGGATTACGATTTTGCCTATCTGAAGGCCTTCTTTGGTCGTCCGTTTGATAACCAGCCTGATCAAGAGGAGAGAGCTTCATGGCAGCCCGTGGCAGAAGTTCATCCGCTAAAAACGATGCATTTGCAAGTAATGCAAGTTGCTGGGCTTCTGTCTCGGCCATTCGGACGATCCTATTTCCAGAGCCTTCAAAGTTTGCCTCTTCTTCTTCTATTGAACCGGGCAATGCTCTTATAAGCACGTTTACATATGAGTTGAAAACTTGAAATAGACCTTCCAATGCTTTACTGCCCAGCTGCATACTTAGAAGAGGTCCTGCATCCTCAAAGAATTCCTACAAGAGAAATTTATTAGTCACTGGAAAAACCAAAACTAGAATGACAGAAAAGTTCACCTTCTGGTATGCTTGTATTTCCTAAAAATTTACTACCTAACATAACTTAATAAAAACCAAAACCTCCAAAGCTTATTGACCGACTTATAAAGTTGCTTACCTGAACCATGAGATTAAACCAGTGAGCACTTGGCGTAAGCTTATTTTGAAATGCAGTACTAGCATGACGACTACCAGCAGAAGGATATGTAAGCACCCAATCATCTGCCGCAGCCATAGCGGCAGTGCCTTCTTCAATTCGTTTTAGATTGGCCTCAATTGCCTGTTCGATAACAGGCTTGAAGTGCTTTAGAAGCACGGGACAGAGAGACAAACCTCGAGCTTCCAATAAAGAACAATGCCCTAGAGCTATCTTTGCACACTCTGCAGCAGCTCTTAGTCCTCCAGCCGCAGCAGAAGAGGCTAAGGCATGTCTTTTAACAAGAAGGCAAAATGCCTCGGTATGCTTTGTTGCCCAAGTTACAAGCTCAGAAGTATAAGCTGGCTCTTTCCCAAATATTGTCAGTGAATCGTTGGATGCTTGAGAAATAGCCGAAAATACAAGCTGAGAGAGAGCAGCAGTATATGCCCCTCCATATGAGGCGCTGGATGGACGAAGACTTCGCATGTTGTACTCATATCTCTGAAAATGGGCATTAAGTAGCAAAGTATGGGCACGGGAACCATCTCCAAGTCCTTTGAGAGCTAGTATAGCTGACCGAAGTTCACCACCTCGGGTTGAGGGTTGACAAGTAGCTTCAGCAAGCTGATCGGCCAACTTCTGCTTGCGTTCTGCGATAGCAAACTGAAGAGATGAAAGCATAGAAGAGCTCAAGGTGCTCTTTTCATTTGCTTGAGAAAATATACTTTCTCCTTCATCAAAAGCCGCCAGAGCTTCATCCACTCTCCTTTCAGCCAACAGAACATCAAGGTGGTCAGGAAATTCTGCAGCCCATTTCTTCAGATCGGAGTGGTCCTCATCTTTAAAATATAACATGCCATTTGCAACAGAATCTTCAGATACTTTATCGATGTCTATGTTAACCCCATTGGCTAAGCCATTAATTAGAGTAGCCTGAGTGGATAGAAGATTTCTGATTGATGATAGCTCCCCATCCAATTCTAATATCTCTTTTGATGTGCTGCGCACAACAAAAGCCTTATCAGTAAAAACACGATTACACAAGACAAAAAAACAACAGCTTTGTAACAATAAAAATATCAGATTAGCATGCTCAGACAAAGAACTCATAATAGGTAGCCTAACATTGATGAATTAGACAGTCACATTTTGAAAAAGGAGATCTCCCCAATTATGCTAACTTCAGGAGAGTATAAATTGATGGAACCGAATATAAAATGTTGCATAACTATAAGCCTCATGCCAGACAGCCACAGAAAACAATGAGGGTATCAGCTAACCGTATAAAAGCCGAATAATTAGCAAAAACACTTCGGCACATCTCTTCAGCAGAAGCTTTCTTCAAATCCAAAAGATAAGAGCGTAATTGCTTTACATCCTGTCACCAGAAGCAGAAATATATCATGAACCTGGAAATGCCAACCAAAGCAACAGAAAGCCGGAAAATAAAATGAAATACAAGAGAAACCCGGGGTTCTGCTAAGTAACCTACAAGTCTTCCTTAAACAGAATGAGAAATTCAGAGAGCCAGAAAACGAATAGGCGGACTTCTCCCATGAACTTTCATCAACGGTATAATATAATCGGCAAAGGATGCTACAAGACAATCTCCTCTCTACCATTTTCCTGTCATCTGATTTCTTCTTTTTCTCAAAAGAAACAAAGAAATTGATCTCCCCTCTCCCATACAAAACAGAATTGGACGTATATAATCCGAGTCACATTCTATATTACAGTCAGTGATAATCACAACTCCAAGCTTATGCTTCTGAAAAATGACTACTAAACTCATCGGACATTTCACATTTACAATATTTACACGATTGATTCGAAGTGAGACAAAACAAGCACACAGATGCCGAATCCGCAGATACAAAAACTGAATCCAGCATCAGAACAACTATTTTCCTTAAACAGAAAACTAACTCCAAGATTGAAAATGGAAAACGGAACAAGAACTCATTACTACCGATCACAACGACAAATCAAAACAACTTGAAGAGCGAAGAACAAAAAAAACCTTCTCGTTGAGTGAACATTTCGATTGCACATAAGCATCGGCATCAAACTTATCGGACTTGAACACACTCAAGACTTCCTCGACTCTGACGCCATTCTCCTTCGCCGGCGTGGCTCGTGACCTCGCCGTCCTCGCTGCCGCCATCCTCCGCCTCGCTGCTCCTTCTCCTCCGGAGAAACCCTAGAATTCGCGGCCGTTTCCGATCACCCGAAATTCCGAACCGAAATCACCACCGCAGGGCACTTCAGTGAGAATTCAACACAGATGTGAGGGAAAATCAAAAGATCAGATCTGCAGAGATGAGAACGACGGCAAAGAAATCGAAGCAACAAGGGGAGAAGGAAGATCAGAGTTTGGCAGCCAATAAGCTAGCAATTGAAACGTTTGCAGATATTTTTTGTTTGATTAGGCGTTGACAAATTTAAATTGTATAAAAATTATGTGTGAGAAAACAGAAAATCATTAAACCGAAAGAAAGATTCAGAAGAAATTCGCTGGGAATGAACCAAAAATGTCGATATTTGTAAATTAGATATTTTTATTTAAATCTTTACGGTAATTTATTAAAAAATACCATATTTTACCGTCTATTATGGAAAATAATCGTATTTTATCTCTCTTTTTATTCTTTCACATATATAATACTATATATGTATACACATACACGGCAATATTTCTTCTCAATACAAATAAATTAACGTATATGTAATTCTACTCTCAAATCTCACATCTTTACCATGTGACGTTTATATAATAGAAGGAAGATCGAGATGAATTAAATAACATTAATATACTAACATCTTCTAATTAAATAAAGATGTTAATTTAATTAGTAAGATAGTTGTATACAAATTGAAAATTAAAGAAGATGATGCGGGTATTTATTAAGAAGCTAGCGGCGAAGTTAAAAAATAATAATTTAAAATATATGAAATATTAAAAGAGAACATTTTTATGAAACTATTTGAAGACATTGGAACTTTGTAGTTGTCTAATATATATAAGATTTAAACTCTATGACTTTATATATGTTTATTATCTCTAAATAGTGTATGCTATATATACAGTTTCACCTTTGGGGACGAAATAACCGGCGAGAGTCGTGTCCTCCATGGCGACACGAGTGGGTGTAAATGGCGCAGGAGGGTGAAGGCGGAAAGACTCTCTGCAGCAAGATTTTATGTAGTTGAGATTCTGTATGTCACTTTCTTGCACAAGTTTGTCTTTCCCGACAACTCTATCAAGTTCATCCATAGCCATTGCAAGTATCTCTGGTCGATTCAACATCTCGGCAAGTGTCCATTCTGCAGTGTTTGCTGGATTATCGACCATTGCGAAATAAATATCCTGCGAGATATATGCAGTTAGATATGATTCACATATGTGTGTTTAGTTTCTAAGTTATAGGAAATCCGATTTCGATATCTTCAGGTGTGAGCAATGGCTTCCCTTCGGAATCTTTAAGTATGATAAAGATATCGAGCCAATCCCGAGCTGCTTCCATTCCTTCTTTCTCCCTCCACAGCTCGATTCTCTCGTCGATAACCAGCTTGCTGCATCTATCAATGGTTTCACTCGCGGCTTTCGCCCTTTTCTCGTGCCTGTCCAAATTCCAACCCCTTAGACAAGGGACGTAATCCGATATCTGAAAGCTGAACAAACAATCCAACGCTGTGAATATAGCGTCGACGTGATCTCTCTCCATTGGAGTCAAGCTCCCGTCCTCTGTCTCTTCCTTGAGATGCCTCCGCCAAACATCATTCTCATCATTACAACGTATCCATATGTCAAGGCACTGCCCCTCACGTTTACCGTCTTGGATCGTTCGTAAAGGCTGTGAACGTAAGCGAGGAGATTATCGGCTTTCACCGTCCTTGCGCCAAGCAAGAAGTTCAGTGTCAGAGGAGACATCAACTCATATTTCATCACTCTTCTCATCGTCTTCCATTCGTCTCCGTAATGGCGGAAAATTAGGGCTTTGAATCCGCCGCTCATCACTTAGGTCGAGTATGATTCCGGTGTGTCGGCCAGAACCGCATCCTTGTCCTTTAGGGCTTCCCGGGCGATCTTGTCCGACGATATGATGATGAAGTGGACGTTGGCAAAGCGAAAACATGCAATCTCCGTTTGTATTTCCTTCATAATACGGTGGATCCACCGGTGAACCGGTCGGTTCGTGATCATCCCGGCTAAGTTCCCGATGACAGGCCATGCAGGTGGGCCCGGGGGTAGCTCACGTCCCTTCGACGTGAACCGTACGGCGAAATATACGACGAGAGTGATAACAAGTAAAAGAAATGGAAAGCTGCTACATTGTGATAGTAATAACTCAGCGCTCGTGGTAATGATGCTGCTGTTGTTCATGTTCATGTTCATGTCCATATCCATGTTCATGTTCACAAGTCAATCGAATCGAACAACTTGCTCTTTCCGACAAGCAAGATCCCGAGCCTCCTTATATAATATTTTGTATGTTTTTTTACCACTAGATGGCCAAACTGTTTGGTATATCTCATACAGATTTAATGTTAAATTTTAACAATAAATTTGGCATTGAATTATCTTGAATATAATATCATGTATTATGTTAAAGAATACGATAAAAATAAGGCATATTTTAATTCATCGGAAATGAACCTTTCTAGATCTACACATAATTTCTCAAAATTATAAACTTATAAAATTCGAATTCGATCTGCCAATAGTTTTGATTTATAAATCTGGATTTGAAGACAATGTTTTAGTGGAATAATCATACATATTCTCAAAGGTAAAATTTATGTTGAACTCGACATTTATTTCCAACTAAACACTTTTGTCATTGAATAAATAAAATATAGATAAAAATTATGCAAAATAAAGATTCACCTTTGTTTTCAGATATATATTTTTTTTTAAAAAGAAAAAATAAACATATCCCTGCAAGCCGCGGAACGGTGCGTTTCGAGTTGCTCCTTTGGCTGAAGTTTACCCGTTTGTCCCCTCAAATTCTCTATTTTCCTTTTCGTTGCTTTGCAAGCGGCGCCTGGCTTTTCAAATTCGAGAGAGAGAGAGAGGAAAACGAATAAATCGAAGGGGGAAGATGATTTTGAGGACTCCGCCACCGAAGAAGCCGAGGGCCGATGCTGGGCCCGTCGCCGGTAGCCCCGCTTCCGACAAGCACCTCGTTATCTTCGAAGATTCTCCGGCTCCGGCTTCTGTTCTTGCTCCAGCTCCGCTACAGACTTCGCATGATCATTCGGATCAGTTCCTTTGCACCTATCAGTGCCGTCAAATGGTTCGTACTTTTTTGTTCCCTAATCACTCGCTTCTTTAATGTCTCAAGAGTGGCAAACCTGAAGCTGTTTTCTTTCTTGTTATAATACGATTTCTCGACCCTGAAATTGCATTAGAGAAGATCCCTTGTGTTCTTGAATGCTGGGCAATTGTTCGGTGTTGAGGAAAGACATATTTACTGTCCAAATTTGCACAAATTTTTGAAAAAAAAGTGTGTTTTTTCGTGTGACTGTAGGTTAAAGCGGATGTTTTAGAAGCTTTAAGCAAAGCAGAGAAACAAGTTCAGGAATATCAGACCAAATTAGAGGCCTTAAATGAGAACTTCAGCAAAACAGGTGGAACCTTTCGCTATGTTTACAGAGGGTCTTTGTTTTGCTTCTATCTTGGATTTTGGTGTCGTTGGTGGTATGATGCTAATGAATTTGGAGTTGTTTTTCTCTCACAGAAGCTGAGAGGAACATATTTCGAGATAAATATTTGTACACGGAGCAAGAGCTGGCTGCTGCAAAAGGGCGTGAGCAGGTTCTGCAAGATCATCTCTTAAAAGAGGTTGATGATTCTCAGGAGCGGTATAAGAAAGAACTGCTGTTGTGCCGTGAACTAGAGGTAGGTCTGTTTATGTGATTCTATATTCAATTTGTCAGAAGAATTTGAGTATGCCTTCTTTCGGATATTTGCCCACATCAGTTTAGCATTTACGATTTGTCTTGACAAGAACTGCCCCTTATTTAGCTCTTTGTTAAATTGATGTGTCTCCTCACTTCCTTCCACTTTGTCGATGCCCAGGCAAAACTTCAAAATGAAATGCATCTTAGAATGAAAGCTGAATCTTCAGCAGCATCAGCAGAAGAGAAAGCTAAACTTTTGGAGGAGAGGCTAAGTCAGATATCTGAAAGTGTTGAGAGGGAGAAAGAACGTATAAACAATGATATTGCTCAAATGAGCAAAGAAACAAGGCTAGCTGTATCTAGAATTGGTGCAGATGTAAGTGGCAATTATTAAATCAGATATCATGTCTGGAGATCTTTAAGCATTCACCTTAGTTATACCGGTTTTCCTGTGCTTTTAGCTTGAAAAGATGGAATGTAGAGCACAAAATGCAGAGAGAGAATCGGATCTTCTAAAATCACAGCTGGAGCTGCTGAGACAGAAACTTGACGAGGTAAGCAGTTTTTATTTGGTAGGATCTTTGTTTTGTGTCTCATTCCCTCGGGTTCTGTATTTATTTGAAAATGTCTGCTTCTGGATGCTGACATTCCCGTACTATACCAGTTTCATATATTCTATTTTTAATTTTCTTCAGTTTCTTTATTTCGTAGTGTTACGAACGTCATATATATTTGTGTCCATAGTAGTGCATGTCATAAGTTACCAAAATATTGGAGATTTGCTTTTGCTTGAAAACCCTTTATGAATGGAGAAAAAGAATTCATGTGGCCGGCAAAAAATAAACTTCGGAATAAGGCGTCATTGTTGGTGTATTTTCCTTCCAGTGCTTGCAAGAGAAGACCGAAGTAGAAAAGAAGCTTTCATCATTCAGTTTTCAGCAAGCTTCTTCTCCAGATAACAGTATCTTGGTAAAAAATCTCCAAGAAGAGCTTAAGAACTATGTAAGTTTCACTAAGACAGCTGAATACTGAGGATCATTTATTAACTTGCCTTTGTAATGGTATTGAAAGGCTTTCTGGCATAAGATGTGTGTTTATTCAAATTGCTTATGAAGAGCCTCTGTTTACTTAATGACGTTCTCTAAGACAATCACATCATTAATGGTTTTGTTTTCAGTCAATCTTACGTATCCAGATGTCGATGCTAAATGACCCTGACAGTCAAAAACTGTCTTGGTTGAGATAGGAATGACTTATATTATGAATCTTATTTCTTGTTTCTATACAGTTATAAGTTCATTAGTTTGGTTTGTGACAATTCTTTCAGGAATCTGAAGTGCGAGAAGCAAGAAAATTAAAATCACGTCTGGGAGATGTTGAGTTGTTGAAAGAGAAACTATTAGAAGAAAAGAGCCACAGAGATAGAGCAGAGTCAGAATTATCCAAATTGCATGAATTGCAGCTCAGCATGAGCAAGTTGGAGAATGAATTGTTACTTTGGAAGTCATTGCTTAAAGACATTCCGGCTGTTTCCTGTCCTGATGATATAATAATTAAATTTTCTGCACTACAAAAGTATGACAGCATGGTCTTTTTTGAAGTCTAATATACCTATATATACCTTGTCTGATATGATTTTAGATGGTTCTTGTTTGCTTTAGAAAATTGTGGAAGTCTGTAGATCATGGTAGTAAGTAGAATTCTGAGGCTGCTCTTATGGGTTGCTTTCTCGAATTTAGTTGGATAAACTTGAAATATTGGTTATGAGACATCGAGGTTTTTTGCATTATCACTTTCTCCATATTTAGCCTTATCTTCTAGTGATAATCTAGCTTTGTAGTGCAATTCTTGCTGTCCATTTGTTAGCCTAGGAGCATCTAGGTTCACTTTTGATATGTTTGAAAACATGGGTGACATGGTTAATAGACTTTTGTTTTTTTGCTTTCCCTGTTTTAGGTGTAATTGTACTGAATGACACTTTTCCAGCTTAAAGTTGAGCTTCAGTGTCTAGCTTTATTGGTAGTAACCAGTGTCACTGCCTTTTGAAGGGAGGTACTTGATAGCACCTTGAAGATTGGTGAAGCAAATGCACGTGTGAAGCAATTGGAGGTGGCTCTCGATGCTGCACAACTCAGTCGACAGAATGCGGAAACTGAGGCTGCATTAGCCAAAGAGAAGTCAGAGGCACTAAAGTCAGATGTAAAGAGGATTGAAGTGATGGTAAGTGTGATTAGTTCTCGCTTGTTCTACAGATGTGTGTTAAAATTGCATTTTCTTCTTTAGTTGTAATCCCCTTGGGCCTTCTTTGGTGGAGTCTTAAATTGCCACGGCATAAATCTAACATTCTTAACTGTTGGCAATCCTGTTCTGCTTGCCATAGTAATAGCAAATGTCCCATTTTTGGTCATTGTTTTACCTTTGGTACCCATCAATTTCTCTACTTTGGGATACACTTCATTTCATATGAGGCTAACAGAGGTTTGCTGAACTATCATTTGCTAATTGGAACTAATCTGCAATGATAGCTTTCCATGGTCAATGAGGAGAAAGAGCAGTTAAAAACTGTAATGAATGAATTAAAGAAGCCAAACAGCGAAGGAGCTGTGTCCGGGGCCGCCAATGGAACCCTTATACAGGTTTGGGTTTTAGAATACGATATTATCCTTGACGTTTTCTGTTTTTGTTCGTAGCATCTTGTTCAATTTTTTTCATATAGGATCTTGAATCATCACTTGCAAAGAAGGAAAGCTATATTAAGGACTTGGAGAAGGAGCTAAGTGAACTGAAGGATGTGAATCATCGTCAACGTGAGGAGATAGAACTTCTCAATGAGAAGCTAGTCAATGAAGCCAGGAAAATTAAGTCCTTGGAGAGGGAAAGTGATCGCCTTCGTTCTGAGATTGCTTTACTAGAGTCCAAGGTAGTGATTCCAGATAAGGTCATTCAAATAATAACAAGGTTACATTGATGAATATACACTTCTAGTGAAATCGAACAATGAATGTTCCCTTTGTTATACCCAGTTAGAAGTTAACTGGCCAACGAAAAAGCTCATTAAGCTTCGTTTTTTAGCTGCAATCCGTAATATGAATCTGAAAGAAGGGCTTTGAAGGTTGAACCTGAGGTCTAGCAGTGTTTTTTGTTTGCCTTTGGTTTCATTTTTAACATTTCCAAGATTGCTAACATCAACTCAGATGCTAATTTTAGGATTCCAACTTCTACCTTACTGTATGATTGCAACAGTAACTTGGATACTTGGCTTTGTTTTTATTTAACAGCTGGGTCATGGTGATTTTTCTGCTGCAACTACAAGGGTTTTGCGTATGGTGAATACTCTCGGTGTTGATAACGAGGCCAAACAAACAATAGAAGCTTTACAAGCTGAGTTACAGAAGACAAAAGAGAAACTTCAGGCTGTTGAAGAATTAGGGAGTCAGTCTGCTAAATTCTGATCGTCATTCTTTCCCTGTTCTTGACAATGGGGTTTGGCCAGAACCCCAGAGTCTTAACGGATTGTGGAACTTCATGCCTTAATTTCTTTGCAAATTTGCATCATATTTTACGTTTTTAGGAGGATAAAACAAAGGCATCTAGCTAGGACCATAACTCGAGGAATCGTTTCTTCTGATCCTAGATGGAAAAAGAAATATTCGCTTCTGTTTCAAAAGGGTTATCTTGTTTACATGATTGGCTTTTGTGACTTTTTGTGTTTTTCTTATGAATATTAGGAGATGCTGGGAAGCTCGATTCTCATATAACTGGAAAGATTGCACAGCTAAAAGAGCAGATTGCTACTCTTGAAAAGCGTGAAGAAAGGTCTGCTGTTGATGCTCATAGCACTTACCTCTTTCATTTTTGTGATTATGACCTTGCTTTGCTATACTAACACATATGGGGTCTTTGAAATAGGTACAAAACCGTCTTTGCTGATAAAATTTCCGTATTTAGAAAGGCTTGTTGTGCACTTTTCGGTTACAAGGTAATTCCACTCTCCCTTTCCTAAAGCTCGAATGTCTTCCGCTTACTGACTCTGCTAGTTACAAATTGTGAAATTAGCTTTGTTTCGGTTGAACCCTGCATCTTTGCTGATATTTAAGATTAAAATCGATTATTATCATGTATCTTCTGGGATCGATTCGAACTTGCTGTTGCCATGCAATGCTTCTCTATAAGGTCGATGTTTACTTTTATGATGTGATATTTTTTTTTTCTGAATTCCTTTTGTTTTGGCTTCTGGTGAAATGGTAGATTTTGATGGATGAACATCAGCGTCCCAATGGAATCCCGGTCACTCGGTTCATTCTCCAGTCAATCTACGCCCAAAACGACGACGAAAAGCTTGAATTCGAATATGAATCCGGAAACCCCACTATTCTGGTAAATCCATGTTACCTTTTGCATGTGATCCATAATCGGATCGCTACTCGAGCACCACCGCATATTTCCAAAATTTAACTGATATGATTTCGCCAAACAGGATAACGAATACGCCTCTCAACGTGAAATTGCCAAGCAGGTATTCTTCAAACTTATTTTCTTTCAGCGAGGCAGGCAATGGTTTTAGGGTTTAGGCTTGAGCTGTTTCTTCTGACTCGTTATAATTAGATGCAGTTATCGAAATCATCTGTTGTATGCCGTGCAGATCGAGATATTCGTCCGGAAGTTCAACTCGATTCCAGCTTTCACAGCCAACCTAACAATGGAGTCATTCAACCGCCGCACACTGTCTTGAAACCGAGCCGATATTCCCATGCCGGGCACGAGTTCTGGCTAAGGTTCAACTATTTCTCTCGCTGAACGATATATATATTTTACTCGAAACGAATGTAAGAGTTCGAATCAGTGTTCGGAATTCGGAAGGAATACGTACATTTCAGTTTTTAAGATTTGCTTAAGAAGGCCTTTTTACAGGAACAGGACCGCCCGTGTACGTCTCCCGGTACCAAAATCTGAAGTCGAGATTTGTCGGATTTGGAATGATATTTAGCTGTTGGTTTCTCGTAGTCTGTTTTAACACTGTCGGAATGTTGTCGGCTTGAATGTAATAGCATGAAAGTGGGAGTTTTGGGCTTGCTTTCTGTTCGGGTTTAGATTTGGTTAAAAAAAATTCAGGTTTTCTAAAATAATATTCATACCCAATTTTAGACTCTGTAGAATCTCATATAAAATATTTAATGTAAAAAATTTCGTAATAGAATATTGTATTTTGAAATTAAGAAAACATAGAATTTTTTTTGTGAGGATAAAAAAATTAATTATCAAAATTTTAAAAAAGAAAAGTTAAGATATTATTGGAATATAAATTTTGAAATATGATTGGAAATAATAATGAATGTCAAATATTATGTATCTCAATTTATGTCAAATATTATATATCTAATTTGTTTTCATTATATCTATTTTATTTATTAATTGATTTTTCTATATATTTATATTAATCATTTTTAATCTCTTTTTTTAGTTTTGGATGTTTATATATTCAAGTCGTTTAAAAGAAAGTAAAAAATCAAAATGAAATGAGATATTACAAAAAGAAGTCAAAATTAAAATTTTTAAGATCAAGTGAGATGTAATGATAAAAAGAATTAAAATTAGAATTTTAAAATCAAATGAAGTGATTTAAAAATGGTAACACTATGTAAACGAATAAATTTTGATTTTTATAGATTTTTTCAAATATAATAAAAAATATCTAAGTTTTTTTATCGCATTATCATTTCAATATTAATATTTCTTCATGTCTTTAAATTCAATATTGAAAAAAATATTGTAATAGAAAAATTAAGATATGATTGGAGTAAAATATGGATTTTGAAATATGATTGGAAATAATAATGAAAATAATATTATGTCAAATTATATTATTTTGTTTTCATTGTAATTAGATATTTATTTCATTTATTCATTTTCTTATATAATTATATACGTATGAGTAATTTTCAACGTAACAATAAAAATGATTACGTTCTTTTTTATTTATTTTGTTTTGTTTTCACGTTTTAAGAAAAACCAACGTGTCAGATTTTACATCATCCATATTGTCACATAGAATTTTTTGTATACATATTAGAAAGCTTCAAGGACGTCTGTATTATTGTATAGGTGTGTATATATACGTTTTTTTTCTCTATATAAAGGCATGTACATACATGTACATTTGAAGTTGATCGAGTAATGCATAGAAAATTCTCCAATTTCTTCTTCATACTGTTTACATATTATTTATTCATGGACACATGATCATTAAAAAAACAAATTGGACTTCACATATGAAGAAGGACGATATAATTATATATTTTGCCAAAATAATTTTTAAAAACTATCAATATTTTTTGTTATAATCCAACCTTCATAATTTTTTTTTGATATAATCGGTTATTTTTCAATAATAAAACAGGGTAAATTATTTTTAATACGTTTACAAATGAGTTCTTCCAGATGCAAGTTATACTGTCTTAATTTTTTTTTATTAAATTAACTATTTTCTTAAATATTTTTTCTTGCCTTGCTTTATAATATATAACATATATAGTGTGCATGTATATATTGATGATTATCCAAATAATTTAACAAGATTATGTTTTATCTCTTAAGATAAAATGATGTTTATCGTTCCATGGGCTTCATTTGGTTAGTATATGTGTATCCTTGGGCAAGATACTGAGACACGTGGCGATTGCTGAATGCAGAATCCTGTCACATAATTTTGTTTCTTGATCAGGGCTCTGCTTACGTCAGTAATCTGCGCAAAAGGGGAAGTTTATCTCTGACTTTATGAAAAAATGACAACTCTCACAAGGGATATCTCATGTACATACATGATAACCCTCACATATTATTAGCATGCAAAGGTTAATTAATAAAAGCTTATCATGATAACTCTCACTAATCCGGCATTTAATTGTATTTTGATTCCCGATAAAAATCTGATAATGATAACCCTCCAACAACAAAGATAATTTGTCCAAATTAAGATTGAAACTTTGCAGTATTTATATGCATGGCAACGTCCGTCCGTACCATCCATCCATCCTTAATTCCAAAGGATTCTCATCCTCTCTTGTTTGTTCTCTACGTTCGAACAGTCAAAATACATATATACTCACGTCGGCATAATGCTAAACCTTACATCGCCGATACTGTCCGACGGTCTCACCACACGGTCCATTTCATGTCCCAACTATTCGTTACGAGGGTTTGTCAATCCGAGTTCTAAGCCTAGACCCTTGACCGCTAAACCCCACCAAGAAATCAAAACACCCCATTTGTCCGCCGTTGCCGCCAACGCGACCGAGCCCTTGTTGTTCAGTTCTCGTGCCCATGAGCGCGACCAGAAGGACAGGCGCGACCAGAAGGACAAGCTTGTCGTCATTATGGGCGCGACTGGTTCGGGCAAGTCTCGCCTCTCCGTCGATCTCGCGAACATTTTCTCGGGCGAGATCGTAAACTCCGACAAGCTTCAGTTCTACAACGGTTTAGAGATCACGACCAATCAGATGACTGTCCAAGAACGGCAAGGCGTCCCCCATCACCTCCTCGGGGAGGTTGAGCCCGAGGACGGTGAACTCACGGCTGCGGAATTCCGTTCCGCGGCTGCTCGAGCCATCTCGGGGATCGTCTCACGCGGGAATCTCCCGATTCTCGCGGGAGGATCCAACTCCTTCGTCCACGCTCTCTTGGCCGAGCGGTGGGACCCGGAAACCTACCCTTTTAACGGGAGAGGTTCGATATGCTCGGACTTGCGGTACGACTGCTGCTTCATCTGGATAGACGTCGCTCCGCCTTTGCTCTTCGAGTACCATTCGAGACGGGTCGACAAGATGCTTGAAAGGGGAATGTTCGAGGAACTGGCCGAGCTCTATGACCCGAAAAACGACCCGGGAGAGTCCTGGACCCGAATCGGGCTGTGGAAGTCCATTGGAGTGCCGGAATTCGACCGTTACTTCCGGAAATACCCTCCGCAGAAAACCCGAGAGGCGGCAAACAGAGACGATTGGGATGCAGCGAGGAAAAGCGCTTACGATCGAGCGGTGAGAGAGGTAAAAGAGAATACGTTTCTTCTGGCGATGAAGCAGATAGAGAAGATTCAGAAGCTGAGAAGTGCAGGTTGGGACATAAGGAGGGTCGATGCGGCGGCCTGGTTCCGGTCGGCTCTGAGTTCACCGGACGGAGACGGCGGCAGCGGAGGAAGGAGGTGCAAAGAGATTTGGGAGAGAGAGATTCTGGAGCCATGCGTGGAGAGAGTGAGAGACGAAGTGTTTTGTTTGGGTGAGAAACAAATGACGGCCACATATTATTAAGTAATAAATATATGCATGATTATGGTTTATATATCAATAATGATAGCTTTCATTACAATCTCTTTGATTTTCCCATGTTCTATCCTCTCCTTCTTTGGATATCATGATCTTTCCTTATCCTTATCATATCTCAATTTCTATAGTTGTAAAGTGTTTCTTTGTTTCTATGTTTATTTAATATAATTATGAAAGCAATGTACAATTATTTAAACCTAAAATGACATTTTAACTATAAAAAAAAAACTCGAGAATAATTTTTCTAGATTTTATTTTAAAAAAAATTATTTGCAATCACCTCTCCCCCTCCCTTGACGGCTTGACATAATCATTACGTGAACCCACAGACAACTTATATCGAAATTAAGCCCCCCAAAAAAAAAAAAGCTATAAAGACGACCAAATTCGGTTATTTCGGGTTCGGGTTGTTCGGGTTTGAAAAATTCATATCCATTCGGATATATAATTTTAATCGATTTTGTTCGAATTCGGTTCGGTTTTATCCAAACAAATATTCGATAAAAAAATAATAAAAACAACATAATAATTTCATCTCATACAAAAACAAATCCAAAATATTCTTCAAACAAATCCTTTAAAACCCAAAATCTTTTTTAAACAATCTTCTCAAACCATTTCTCAAACCAAAGTTCTGTTATGGCAAACCTTAAAAAGAATAAAACAATGATAAAACAGTGTTATTAATGGCATATGGCGGTTCACAGCATTAAGCCGAAAATAGACCATAGATATATGGCGTATGTCATGGCGGATTATGGCGGAAGTCACGAGTCATGACGCTTAAAAAATATAGTATATTTATAATAACAATATATATCAATTATCATCTTAACATAAAATTAAAACAATTATAATAACTTATCAATCAATATACCCAAAAAAAGACACCGTTAAAAATCAAATTGACCCAATTTAACTTCAAATAAATATAAAAAGAAGAAATTAAACACACAAAAAAACTAAAAACAAATGAATTTCAACTTAAAAAATTTTAAAAACAAAACCCTATTTAAAATTTTTTTTTCCTCTCTCGCGAATAAACCAGAACCTTCCTGTTTTCCTCACTCTCAAATTCTTCTCTTAATTCTCACATTTCCCTTTCTTTTTTTCTTCTTACTCATGCCCTTCAAACCTTTTGCCTCTACTGCCGGTCTTCTTCATCTAATGAAGAAGATTCACTCCAGTTATGCTCCATGAAGTTTAGTTCTCTCTCTTCTGTTATTTCCTCTCTCTATGACACCTACAGCTCTCCGTAACAGTTGGATTATCCGACAGATTCTCCGTAACTTTTAAAATGAAAGACTAAGACCCGGGTGATGATTTTCCAATTTATGTGTACATGTAATGATCACCGGCGAGAGATTCGATATCGGAGGAGAGGAAGATGCAAAGAGACGATGCAGAAACCTTGAGGATTCAAGCTCGGAGGACGATGCAGAGAGACGAAGCGAAGAGCCTGAGGATTCGAGCTCGAGATTGGAACAGAGGAGACGATGCCGATACAGAGAAGACGAGGCCGAGACGGAGGAGGCGACGCCGAGACGGAGGAGACGACGCCGAAACGATGTCTATCGACGATCGAGATAACTCCGACACGGAGGAGATGCCTCAGGCGAAGTAGAGCTTGGCTCGGGATGGAGGAGATGAAGTCACGAAGACGAAGGTGCAGCTTCAGAGGAGAAGAAGACAATGGCAGAGTGGAATCGAAAGGGTAATTAAACCCTAAACCTAAATAATTAAACTAATTTTTAATTTAAATCGGTTATTTCGGATAACCGAAACCGATCGGTTATTTACCCAAACCGAACCGATCCGATCGATTTTGGGACAATAGTAACCGATCGGTTATTTCTGCAATATCCGAATCGATCCAAAAACCGATTAATCGGATCGGTTTTACCCGAACTCGATTAACCCGATCCGTTTGCCCAGCCCTATTCACAAGTGTTAACCACAAGACATAGACCTATTAGTTTTTTTTTTTTTGGTTTTAAGGTGATTGTATTACGCAAAAGAACGGCGTTACATCAGTTTTACAACTGGATTATCTATACGAAATATTGGGATCCCCATGAAATAGTGAGATATTCACATGTTTATTTTTAGTGACGTGAGTTATAAGATTCCATATTGGAATTATTTTTGGCTGTGAATAAAACTAATCATCAGCATTTGGTTGTTCCAATCCATTTTTTCTTTTGTAATATTCTCGGCATATCCATCATTTTCGGACTCAAACATACCAAGCCACCGCTTAAATCTTAAAACCAACTCCAATATCAAATACATAGAGTGTCGTCTGGTTTCTATTTCAAAACTTGTGACCCGGCTCAGCCCGAACCCGCACTCAGAGGGTATCGGATCAAGGCTTCCCAGCCCAAATTTTTTTTATTTGAATCATTTTTTCACATTTTTTTTAAACAATCGGACTGTTGGACCAACCCGAAATCCGATTTAAACCCGAATTTTTTCCGAGCCGTTTGAACTCGGATCGAATTTTGGAGCTGAGACCAAAATTTACCCCACTAAGCTTCATCAAACTTGTGCCTAAAGGAGGGGTGATCGGGTATTCAAAAGTGACAAGCGGGTACCTACAGAACATGTTATAATAACTGACAAACAGATGGGAATGGGACAGGACACTTTTAAAGCCGATCGAAAACCTCCCAACCAAAATGCGCCCATATAGATTTTGATGAATAAATTGGCTCAAAATCTTGCAAATTGTAACAACTCAGAATTGAAATTACCTCTCTACTCGTCTCGGATAAAAAAAGGCATTACTAAACAACAATGGCCAGGGGAATTTAGAAAAATCCACTTATAAGATCGAGGATTCAATACTTGAGGATAAGCAAAATATACCGGGAAGAAGAGGAGAGTCTCGTAAAACCGATGCTTCAGTAAAAGAACCCGAGAACTTTGCCTCCCACGTTCTTTCTCCTGGCTTCTTCGTGGTCCATGATGCCCGCTGAAGTTGTCAGAACAATGTAACCAAACTGCACAACAAATGAACTCAACTGAGTTACTGAATGAATAATAACATGACCCAAGTTTCATCCATCCCATTTATCTATCTGTACCGAATGACAATTACACTTTGATATTCCACGAAAGAATGGTAACCAACAAAAGGGCATAGTGACTATGGGTCACTGGCACTTAGCACGAAAGCTAACGGTTTCAAGATCAACTACAATGAAAGGTCCTCTTATGCAATGATGAAAACGAAAAGAAACACTGTAGTAACGAGAAGGTATCGAGACTGACCTGTCTGGACGGAAGAAGACGAGCAGTCCAGCCTTCAATCTCCTTAACACCGACATCAAACCGGGGACTGATGACTCCACACTTGTTCAGCCTTCCATTTAGTTCAACGACAATCTTACCAGCCCTGTGGTCATCAACGTACTCAAACTCGCCGATGTAGCCTGCAAATCAATGAGCAAGCACAAAGGATCAAGAATCAGACAAGAACCATCAGACATCGGAGCCGAGCTAGCGAGGGAACGGAACAAAAAAGAACAGGAGTGAACTGATATTGTAAGAAAAAAACCCTACCGTGCTTTTGCATGACAATAAGAAACTTGATGATCACTTTAGAAGAAGGCCTTATCATCACTTGCCTCTTTCCCCTCTTCTCCGCATTGTACATGCTCTTAAGGGCATCGTTCAGAACGCTGATTCTCACCATCTTCAAGAAAGATGCAAACTACAACCCAATAATTTACAAGTTTCAGCGTTAATCGGAAATACAACCAAAGATGCAAATTTCTAAGTGAAATATAGATTTCCAAATCAAACTACGAAACAGATCCAACCCTTTCTGTAAATTCCAGATACAATTCACTTTTTTTTTTATCAGATACAAGACAATAACAAAGAAACGCAGTTTATATACTTGGATGAGAATCTATATGCCGGTATCTATATCGAAACAATATACACGAGAGATCACATACACTCGACTCGACAAAAAGCAATAACTACAGTAGAACAAGGGTTACATTACAAACAAGCCAATCTTCGAAGACGATTTCAATAAATTCTACTCGCATTTTCGATCTGGATAATCCCATGACAATCAAAACGATCTCCAGAACAAGAGACAAGATTTCCCGGAGGAAACAGCAAATTCGCGTAACAATCTCCCCGTAGATTCAGTTCGCATACGATCAGACCCAGAATCGAGGAACAGAAGACGAGCAGAAGTCAGGGTTTTTCTATGCTATCTAACCTGGTACCGAAGAGACTGTCGCTCCGACCTCTCTCGCGGAAGCTTCAAACACAGTTGAATGAAGAACTAAAAGGACACAACATTGCTAGGGTTTGTGCTTTTATAGGCATTTTTCTGAAACCTGTTGAGCGAGATAGATCCAAGAAACAATTGGGCCCAAAATATCTAATTTGGGCATATTTAATGGGCCTAAAGATGAATAGCTTGTACACGTCATCTATCTATCCGTTGGTAGTGAGCTTTTTGTAATTTTCTTTTTTCTTTTCTTTTTGCGAATTGATTTCTAGATAATTGAAGTTCACAAGAAAATTGGCATAACATTTAAAATAAAAAAATATTTCATATTTTTTTCAGAGAACTTTAATTCGATGAGAATATTCGGATATTTTCAGATTTTTTGGGAGAAATTTTCTATAGTATTCGTAAATCCGTATGAATATATCTTCGCGAGTGAGAATTCGAATCCGAAGTGAAAAGAAATTTTGTTCCCATAATGGAACCATCCAAGTTGTTTATATGGAAGGGTCGTTATGGTGAAGAAATTCCTCAAATAACTACCTTAACGGTAGGTAACGATCTTGTAAAAGAACATTTGAATAGACTAAGGATGAAAATCTTTGCATCAATGTCGGGTTTTTGTTCTTTCATGAAGTCTCGTGCTGCTTCTGTCACGTCCTTCTTAATAAATAATTGTTTGGCCGTAATAAAATAACGTGCTACGCAAGAAAGCATGTTTTTGAGGGTTCGCTGTGAAAGGGAATTCATTTTCAGATCCATTTAAGTACATACATATATATATATGTATGTATGTATGTATGTATACACATTTCAACACAACATATGACTTAGCAACTCCAAAGTAGCTATATAGAACAGAGGCATGAAAGAATGTTGGAGCCACCATTGTATTTCCCTGTAACACATGAACAAGAATCATACCTGTGACGCGTTGGATCATGTAACCGATCCAAACCAATGCTGCAATGGCCGGAGAGAGAGAGAGAGAGAGAGAGAGAGAGTCCTGTTGATTCACTTGAGCGGATGAACATCAGGGTATAGCCCCAAAACATGTTCCGGCATGAAATCGTGCCTCGTTAGGATCCCAACAATGGGTGGCCTCTGCCACAGTGAAACATAGTTCAGAACAGAGCAAAGCCAAATGTAGAACGGAACACATAGAGAGAGAGAGACTTACGCCTGGTGTCTTGGGCACGACACACAAGTGCCTGAGGCCGAGTTGCCGGAACAGAATAGCCGCTTTCGCAAGAGACATCGTCTCCACTACGGTGTATGGAGAAGTGTTGGTTATAGGATGGAGATCAACATACATCTCCATCTCCTCCTCGCTGATTTCTAAATCCTCGATCTTGAGCCCTCTACCTAATCCCGGCTTGGCAAAATCACGCGCCTTGAATATAGTCAAGATACGTGAGCTACAGACCGTTCTCTGTTTGGAGAATTTCTTCCCCTGCAGAAGGACGAGCAGATGGGACCTCAGAACAATCCCGCAGAGCTCGGGAGCCTCAGTGAAAGGCGGTTCATCGATCACAGGAAACCCGTTATGAGTCGTCATCTTCAAAGCCTGCCATATAACACCGACTTTTTCAACCCTCGGGAAGCTGACTAAAGGTCCAGAGACGACATCCTGAGCAACCAAATTCCTCATGTATGGCTCTGCATGAGCTTCCAAGAAAGGCAGGCCCTTCATTTTCACAATTTGGTCATACACTCCTTTGTTGAAACAATCAGCAACGGTTTTCGAAATCAGGAGTACCAACATCACCAACGGTAGCATCAGGAGATTATTCGTGAGCTCAAGAAGTATAATGCACAGAGAGACCGTCATTCTCATTGTGCCACCGAGGAAAGAGGCAGCTCCAAGCATAGAGAAAAGACCTACATCAAGCTGAGACACTGGATTCACGAGCCTACCAACAAGACGTCCATAAGAGGCTCCAGCAAGAATAACGGGAATGAAAAGCCCCGAGGGTATGGCTATGCCATATGTGACGATGCCAAGGCAGTATACAGCGATGAAGAAAATGAGAAGGGTGGGGATTTGGAACTCGTTCTCAGATATGGATGTGAAAAGATTACGGATTGCATCGTCATTGGTGTTGAGAAGTAGGGATGCAAGGTCGTTGTAATGGTTTGGAGGACACTGGAAACTTTTATAAATGCCGGACCGACCTATGGTTGGACACTTGCCTTCTGTTCCAACAGGACATGGAGTACACTGTGAAAGCCACGGGAGCCCGAATGCGCAACATGAGCTAAGAATGGAAATTGTTATCACGAGCATAATCTTAAAGGCTGGACCTTTCCTGCAAATAATGGAATTACCAAAAGTAAAATTCGGACTTAATCACAATGAGGGAAACCGCAAAGCAGTAAAAAGTTCTTCTGAATGTTCGAGTTTGCATGATTTTGAAACCGAAAGAGGGGAGGGCATATTTATGGAATAGTTAACTCAAAGGAGAAATGGCATACTCGTTTATGATGCTGTATGTGCGGAGGACTTTGTCCACGAGGTAATTGTAAAGGCTTCCCAAGAGCCCTCCGATAACCCCAAGGAATATTACCGCAAGCAAATCTGGTGTGTTGTAGACCACTGGCCCCGAGTTCACATCAAACATAATGAGACCTCCTTTCCCGAACAATCCACATCTCCCAGACCGGCAGAATTCAATCAAACTCCTCAGTGCCACAGCTACTACCGCTGTAGTGAAGAACGTCCTCCAGAGAAGTGCACTCCTCCACCTAACAAAGTTTTTACGAGTGAGACATGATCTTTCAAGGCAGGTAAAACAATTAAAGAGATCAATATACGAAGATGACTGACTATATTTGCATGGTACATCACTCAGATTCCCTCCCTTGTTGATGTCTACTTTCGTTTTCTATAATGTCTCGATACTACAGTCATGTTGCATGAGTAATATTCTACACTATATGTAAATGATGGTATTTTCCACTTCAACTGGCAGCAAAAATTCCAGTTGAGTAGAAGCTTCCTCTGCCATAGTTTTGCATTGTTTCTGAGCAAAATAACATGTACAGAATCCACCTGCTCAATTATTTTGGTTACAAAAGGTGCCATTCCATAAGAAAACAGGAAGATTACCATGAAGCAGCTTCTTCGAGGGCAAAAAGCACTCCTCCGACTGGAGCACGAAAGGCAGCTGCTACACCAGCAGCACTACCGCAAGTAATCAAGTCTCTTCGGTCTCTATCGTTTTTGAAGTATCTAAGCCACTTCCAGGTCAAGTGGTATTTTTTAGAACCACCTTGTCCTAGTAAATTGGCAATGCAAGCACCAGTATGCACCATAGGTCCTTCCTTCCCGACTACGAACCCAGCAGCAACTCCAAATATAGATCCAAAGATCTGCCAGTTTAACATACGTATCATAGAAAACCAAACTAGCATGATCAAACCGAAAGTGACACTGTTGGTTGCCATTGGATGTTCTCAAGGAGTTGATCAATGTTTGGCAAGATATTTTGGGCTCTTACCTTTACGAAGAGGGTGCTCGGGGCTAAGATTGAATGAGCATCTATACCATTGAGATATGCTTTAACCTCCGGTATGCCAGATCCTGCTGCTGCCGGAGCTAGAAAAGCACAAAGTGCAGCGGCTGCAGTTGCCAAAATCACGTTAGATCCCGCAAATGCAAAGAAGGCCTGAAAGTATCTGCAAAAGAAAAAACATGGCCCACAGGTTATCATTCTGAGTACTGCAATCTGCGAGCTTCATAATAAATGTGGAGGCTGAGCATAAGATGCTCCGATAAGGCAGAATAACCTCGTACATTATTAAATATCGTAAGCGCGAAACACATGGTGAAAAGAGTACCACGTAATTTTTAATAATTTATCTCTTTTTACAAAAGCCTTGCGGAAAATATATTCTGAAAACCTTGTAAACCAAAAAATAAATTATCACCTTATGCATTTAGGCTGCAAATGGAAAACAAATGGAGACAAAACATGAATGCCTCTGAGACCAAACTCTCGTAGCAGTGTAATACAATGAGAAATGAAGATGCATAAACAGTAATGTCTCTGATTGAATTCAAAACATTAGCAGGAAATCCAATCATGGATTCAACCAAGCAAAACAAGTATATAAAGCTAAATTAAGCAGTAGAAGCACAGATTTAACAGTTGTAACAAAACTTACTTTTGCTTGAGCATGAGATTACTGGTGATCAAAAGTTTGAATCCAGCAATATTCTCAACAGCAAGGTTATTAAAGAAGCCAACGAGCCCCGTGGATAAACCAATAAGGAAAGCAAGTGCCCATTTGAGAACCGTATACTGGAATATCTGAGTCTTTTTCCGAGCCCTCCAGTCCTGCTTGAAAAGATCGTTCTCAAAAATCCTGCCAGAATGAGAAGCTGGTAAGCTATGGCCCTTATCTCTGACATATAAGGTCATAACATATGAACATACAGAGGCAATAGTATAGCAGATTTAGGGGCAAGACCAAAAAACTCATGCAATCTAAGATTTTAAGATTATGTCTGGAGATAACAAATGTTATCTCCTTTTTGTTAGCCGCTGTTTTTCATTTCTCTATACCATATGAGCTTAGGGAGTACACTAGTTATGAATACCAAGAAAGACCAAAAAAAAAAGATTTGATCTTTGGGATCCATCATACAAGCTTTGCACATAAACATGTCAAATGAGCTTTAGGTAATCTAAGAAGCGGTCCCCTACAAGCTAATGGTCTAACCAAAGGACAAAAAAAACGAAAGAAGTAGAAAATAACTAAAAGCTCAAATGGACCCGAAATGATTACATGGGTTAAACTATTCTCCTTCCTCGACAGGAAATCCTAGATTTTCTAAGCTTCCAAACAAAGAGAGGGCAAGAAAATTTTCCTGGCATGATCCATTAGCTTCGTATCATTCCCAACCTAAAATGAATCTCTCTTTCTCTTTACTAAACCGAACTTCACAAACATGGAAACCCAAAAGAGCTTGAATCCTTCATGTCTTCTAATTGGATTGTCGGAAACGAAATTTAAAAGAACATTGCACAGAAGAACATAGACAGAAAGCCGTACTCGTAGTCAAGGCTCTCGATCGGACAAGTATTGGCTCCGACGATAGCGATCTGCGAAGTCGTGTTCTTCCGATTCCTCGCGAGCAATGGCTGCTGAAATCCGACGGAGCCATCATCTAAGATCCCCGAAATTTTCCTCTCGTACGAATTTGCTCCTTCGACATCTATATCATGCTCTTCTCTCTGATTATCCATGCCCTCTGTGATCATCTAAGGAAACCGAAGAATCGTTCTCTGAGTCGTGACTCGGAGACGAAACTCAGAGTTCAGAAGAAAAATTTGCAGCGTATGAAATGCAACAATCGGAATCATTCACTTACCTTTTTTATTTGGTCTTTTGTTTGTTTACGATAAGAGTCTCGACGAATCGAAGTACCCTTTGAACGCTTCAGAAAGAAATTTCTTTATTTTGGATATAAATCTTTCTCTTAAAAATTTGTTTCTTTGTTAAATTCAAATATTGTTTTTCCTAAAATCAATAAGATTAGCCTGTTTGGAATCCCAATAAGAAACAATACTCCCTCTATTTCTGTCTTTAATAGTTGATCGTCATAAACAATTTTTTTTTTTTAAATAATTGTCGTTTTAGATTTTAAATTAATTTTAAATTTTATCCTTAATGAAATATTTAAATTAGGGTATAGATAACTTTTTTTCTAGTTTTTTAAAACTGTGAAAAAAATTAAAATGTCAATTATTATAAAACGGAGTGAGTACAAAAGAACTTATGATTGTGATAACAAATGCGGTGACGATAGATGCTTCGTCAAAATAGAATTAAATCTTAAATAATATGTAATTTTAGTCTCGCGCAACAAATTATGATGTTTTAAAATATTACAATTTGGAAATTCAATATTTTTCTATAATCTCATTTAGTTTTTTTTTTGTTTAAAATTTTGTATTGTTGGCTAATCCATGCAATGATTAACGAGGGTTTCTATTTTTTTATCTGAAAAACAAGATTGGCCTTTAGCAGACAAAAAGGGATCCCCATCTACAATTAAATAATACATTGCGGATCCGTCCTAAAATTGACATTATTGGCATGCACAAAATTCCACACAATGTTTTATAAAAAATATACTTATTTATTATACAGATAATTATTAACTCTAAACATTGTGGGACATTTAAATATTATTAAATAAATAAAGGTAAATTTAGAAAAAAAATATTTAAAAATACATTAAAAATATAACAACGTCATTTATTTCGAAACAAAAATATTATTCTCCTAAAAAAATTGTTCTCCAACGTTATTTAAAATGAAACAGAAGGAGTAGCAAGATTCATTGGTTACTAAAACAAACAAACAAACAAACAAATAAATAAAGTGATTTGTGGTATTTTTAAATTTTTACCTAAAAAACAAACTAAACAATTGTTAAAGTTTTTTTAAAAAAAGGAGAGAGTTGGAATATTTTAATGGAAAAGGGAAACGTGCACACCACAGGATGAATTCGCGATTAATAAATACGAAGATGATAATGACTTTCTCGTAAAGTATAATATAAAATTTAAAACACATCCTAAGACGGTGGAAGACTCGATGGCTTTTATGAAGCGAATCACTTTCACTGTAATTGTTTAAACAGATGATATAAGAAGTCACTAAAATCTTGTAATAACTAAGATAACGTCGGTTTGAAAAATAAAAAAAAAATAATGGATGTAATATTAATATATATGATAGGGTTTGAAAAATTTATACAAAATCATTATTATAAAAAAAATGTCTCGGGCCTGAGGCCGAATTGCGAGACAATGCATGTGATTGTCTTCAGGGGCACATGAAATTTTCAGTTGAATGTGCGGTTTTGAAGACACGACCACAGGTGGAGATTTAGAGTTTGATTAACATAATCATAACCAAATAGAATCCAATTATGAAAATATGCAGAGCAATCTGAATGAAAAAAAGAAAAATTTTCTTAATGTAAACATAATCTAAACCGAACTCTAAATTGAATCGAATCTTAACATAAAAACCAAATCAACGAAAACAAAATTCTATTTAAAAATAAAAAGATTTTCTTAATCAAAATAGAATCTGAACCAAATCCAAAGTGATTTCGAATCGAACCGAAACCTAACATAAAAATTGAATATATATAAATTCTACACTAAACGGAAAAAAATGAAATTGAAAATACGATAACCTAAACATAACCGAAATCCGAAATGTCCATACCCAGACACCATATTACATTCCCTTGCTGTTTAGGATTTAAGGGCAGGAAGATTATGAGATTAAAGACTTCCTTACAAAACACCTAAGAGAAGGAAAAGTGCCTTTGGGTTCAAATTGGTTTGTCCTTTTTTTTTTCCACAACTCCCAAAAGTTAGGAGGAAGATTTTAAGAAAAAATGAGAAGAATCTGAATTCTGCAGTGAAAAATAGAGAACGTTTACTCAGTCCAATGTTTTCAGAAGCCTAAAGAGCCCGGCCGCTTCCCGAATCCGCGAAAATTCGATGCAAAAAGCCTGGACTTCGATGAAAAGTTCCTTCACTGCACCCAAAGTGAACCACCATTGATTGATAAAAACAGATTTAACGATGAGACAGGTTCACTAAGCATGTTTTCCGCTTATGAAAATGGGCATTCTTATGGCTTCTGTTTCGAAGTTATAGTCGACTAGGACAATATTTAATCAAGCAAATTTACGAGCCTCGTACTAAGTTGGCACAAATATAAAATGGAATAGTATCACAAATTAGAATCGAGCTCGGTAATTTCTCATTGGCTTTAACGGTTCATTAATGCTTTGTTACTTAGAATAATACAAAGTAAGAAACTATCTGAAAAATAAGCAAGGGAAATGCAGACGTACCGTCAATTATTCTGTTCCGAATTAGACTTTGCAAAAACACGCAAACAAGCCGTACAAGCCTATTCTGCATGTATTTGTCCTGAGTTGGATCAGAAAGAAAAGTTCATCAAGTCAGCATTTAACAGTTAAAATAAACAAAATCTGAACAGAAATCAGAGCAATGTAACACCACGGAATGCACGTGGAACCGCAATATGAAGTCTATATCCGATAAAATGCATATGGAACAACAATATGAAACGACACAGGATAGTATTGACGCAATACATAAGCATCATAGATCAAAAAGGGTACACCAAAACAAGGATGATCCTGTAGCAGAAAATGCAGTTCCGTTCAGTACCTTGATGTTCTTACAAGATTGTAAGCAATTAGTGATATACATATGTATAAACTCCTTCGGAAGTTCGACTGCTGTTGTTAGCCTATTCACAACTTCCATCGAATGCAGGTTCATGTCCATACTTATAAGAGCTGTAAAATAACTGCACAGGCATTCTCAGATTCCACAATAAGAATTGTTTCCATAACGTAAAATAGCATAATAGCGGTGGTGATTACATACTCAGCAATCTCTGGAGAGTTGATCAACTTGGTGAGAAGCTCGACAGCAATTTGAGGATTTTTTTCTACCAAAAGCTGAAAACAAAGAATGGGATCACATAATAGAAAGAACCAAAAAAACGAAACTGTTGGATAATATATAAAAGGACATACCGGTAGCTTCCTTGGAGTTATTCCACAGTGATAGACAAGCTTTGGGTCATTTGCAAACTCCATCAGAATTTGCTGGCCAAAGAAATGAATAAAATTTGTAGTTCTCTTTCACCAAAAGATCCAAACTTTCAGAACTGATACAAACTACACAAACTCGTGATAAATGCTGGTTGAAAAAATTATCATAATCAGTACATCTATCTATATTCATGCTGATTTTCTAAGAACTACAATTCATGTTCTTCAACATAGTATTAGCAGCTAGACGTTTTAGTATAAATGAAAAAGGAGAGATAAAATAAGATAACAGCAAAACTTCTCTACAAAAGATATATGTCTCCCATTCTTAATTATATGATATAAAAGAGATCCCTGCTCGAAGTGAAACAGTAAAAATTGTGTCCTAATAACCTAGTATACCTATTGTTAAAACTTGTTTGTTTCCTTCTAAACCAGCTGGTCAGTGTTAAAGCGTTATATAACAATTAAAGATTATTCAAAGAATAAGACACTTGTATAACTTTATGTTCACCACAGAATATTTACTTCGTGCTGTGCAGGTGTAAGTGACGTCTCTAAAGCCTTTGCAAGCAAGTCCCTAACCATTGCACCTCTGCTAGTATCGGCACACATGCCATGGTCCCAAACAAGCTCATGGCTGTTATCAGGTTCAATCCACAGCAGCTGTAAAATTTAAAATATTTAGCTCATAGGAAAGTTCTGAACAAGTAAAATTAATCCTTAAAGTCGGTCTTACCTCACTCTCGTGAACTGGGTACATTGGAGGGAATGGACGGATCCAACTAGGAGATAATGCCCCAAAAATCGGAATTTGCATTGTTAGAGCTACAATCTCATCTCTATCACCGGATCCTATTTTAGGCTTTCCTCCAGGTTGCAGATCAAACCTAAATGACGGTTGTCTCTTAATCATTCATCAAGAAATTTAAAATATGAAGATGGAAACTAAGCTGAATACCAAACTGGATGCATTCAGGAACAGATCAAATTCAAATGTAAATAAGTACATAGAAAGAAAAAACATTTTCCTAACTCATAGTCTACATACTCTGCAGAATTAGGATCAGACCCATGTGGAACATCAGGATCCGGCAACAGATTTGTGACACAAGTTGGTTCATCAGATGATCCAGGTTGAGTTTCCTTGCAGTACTCTTGCACCAACTCTTCTCGCTTAGGTAACTCCTATCAATCACCAGTAAATTAAGGCACAGAGCAAAAATCTCAAGAAGTGTTATAATAATTAAAAAAAGAGGGATTAGCAAATACAATTGGAACGTTGACTATAAATGTTAAGAGCTCTTACATGAGCTGAAGGATCAAAGGATTTGATATAATCGGCAACAGACTGTTTAAGAATCTGCAAAAGGATAAGTATAGCCATGACATATGGTAACGAATAATTACATTTAAACATCAGATAAAAAGCTGAAGATATGCTAAATTAGAGTAGTGGAAAAATTATGACAGTTAACCAAACCACTGCTGCAAGTCCAAAGTGCTGAAAACAATATTCTCAGACAGTATTTGTAAATAGCACAATGCATAGCAACACAGGAATCACAGTTCTACACCATATAATTGAGTGCCTCTTCCCACAGGAGCAGTAACATATTAGAGAAGGAAAAAGAATAATGGAAGAAATAATTTTGAACTCACATGGCATTAGCAAAACAAGGATGCAAACAGCTAAAAGATGTTGCCCTAAATGCAATCATCAACCCACCTCTTTACTGCTCGATCGTAACAAGTGGACAAGGAACGCTCTCTCATAATTTTCAGCTTGCTCATTAAAAGCTGACTGCAAAAGGTTATGTTGTTATAGAAAACATGTATGTTTCACACCAGAAAACTACATATCAAGCTCAGGAATGCAACAAATATTCGTCCAATCAACAAATAAAAAGCTAAAAATAGCAATAGATGAATACACGAAATCTCATCATTCACAACCTAAATCAATTTGCAACAGTTCAAAGAAATAATGCTACGGTGTTCTCAAAAGCTTGGTTTTCACAAGCGGAAAGAATTTACAACTTAAAGCAGATTTCGAAAACTAAGCCCTGTCAGCAACCACAACTCTGAAACAAACCATTTTATAATTTTAAGAGACAATTCTACAAAACCAAGCTGCTTAATACACTTGAAATCCAATTCTCCAGACAATGTTGAAATAAGTCAGTTTACTCTTAAGGAAAAATCAGACTTCCATATACCAATGTGCAATGGAGGGTGCTCACATTAACTAATTCTAAACATTTTAAAAATAGTAATCATTCACAAAGAACAACTCAAAACTGCAGAGCCATGTAAAACGACCGGCAGAAAAGGAATGCAGGTTGCACTTACGTTTATCATTTGAAACATAAACGGGTTGAGTTTCGGTATCCGGGCGTAACATCGGTAAAGGATAGCATACGCTATAAGACGTTCAGAAGGACGGAGCAGCAAACTATCCTGAAATTGATCAAACCTTCATCTAGTCAGTACCTACAAGCATTGAGATGATAATGCAACCCAGCAATGCCATGAGTAAAACTAGCAAAAGAAAATCAAATGACTAAAACCTCAACAGACAATCAGCTGCCGAAACCTCACAGAGAGAACAAAAACAGATTAAACTACAAAATACAACCTATATCCTCTGTGAGGTGCAGCTTAATAATAAATCCCAAAATACAAGACCATCAACAGCTAAATTCTGCAAACCCGATAAGGGAATCCAAATTTCTTGGGTGGAAAAACATAATAGCTGGCTTGCAAAGACACTAAGAATTAGCAGGGAATTGTGGAGAAGAAAAACATTAATCATACTGTTTCTTAAAAAAAAAATCTCTAGTTTCACATCAGATCCATTAAACCAATACGCCAAAAACCTTAACCCCTCACTAGCAGTCTAGCACATGATTAAATACCTAAATTAAAGAACGTTTAGCACTGATACTTGCCTCTATGAGCAGGTAAAGACTACCGCAGACAGTGAAGTATCGTGATGGAGGAAACTTGGAGTGGAATTCCGCCAATATACCATCAATCGGCTGGAGCTCTGACTGGAGAAGCGACAAAAGAGTCGCCGACTCCTCATGTTTCAGCTGCACACGTATGTGTGAAAGCATCCTGAATATATAGCACAAGCTCGTTAAATAATACCAGAAAAAAGCCTCAGTATTATCTTAAACTCTCCGCATTTCATGAACTTGTTAAACTCATAGTCGCCAACACAGAACTGGATACTTATATTATCTGCGATTTATGAGCTTCAATTCATAGTCCAAACATAGACACTTGAATCATCTTAAATTCTCTGCCATTGATTGAAAATTTTCCGTCTGGTTTAGGGTTTAACAAGAAAAAGAGACCAAATATGTAGTGTGAATTAAAAAACAGATCCAATATACATTCATCAAGAAAAATTCGATCAAATGAACAACCCGGAACAAGTAAAGCGCCGATCCAAAGAGGAATTCATGAGACAGATAGAACAAAAGTTCGAACGCAAAAACACAAAGAAAGCCACACAGGAATCAGAACTAAGCAGATACAGATTCGAAATGAAGACATAACAGAGCCGGAAAACGAAGCAAAACAGATCCGATTCGAACAGAAAATCTCCGTTCCGACCGACGAAGCATAAGACGTAACGCAGAACTAACCGGCAGGAATGGTGCTGGGGAATTGCGAGAGAAGTCGGGAGGGAGAGAGAACACAAGATCGAATCGAGGCTCGAGATAGGGAGGACGAGAGCAGAACACTTAGGGTTTAATTGAAAGAAAAATGGGGAAGATTTTGGGTAAATAGCAAGACTCCTACTGGTGCGGATTAGAAATTTAGAATTGTTTCGCGTAAAAAATTGCCATTTAGGCGTAACTGAATATATTTGAAAAAAAATATAAAGATAAGTATAAATGTAATCTATATTTTGTTTTTGAGATATAGGAACCAATAATTAAAACAGAATCAAATTCAAATAAATAATACAAAATTTTAGGTTTGTTATGATCTATTTGAAACAATATAAATGTAAATACTAATATCAATCTTTATTTTTTAGATATTAAAACCATTCTTTATCATTTGTTGAAATAATTTTAATATTAAAATGTTAATTAAAACAAATTCGAGAAATAAAAGGAAGAGATAATATAAGATTTTGATAATATCTCTTAATAATTTATCAACTATTTACATAAATAAATAATATATTTTAATAATTTAAAAATTATTTAGATATAAAATATATTTTAAATTTGTCGTGAATAACATATATATTTGAAAAAAATAGAAACGTAAATATATATCTATATGTTTTTAGATATAGAAAATATTTTTTATATTATTTTATTAAAAATATTTTAAAAAATGATAATTTTAAAATAGATAATATATTCATGATATCTTAAACAATTAGTTAGTTATCTATAATTTTTTTTAAAAGAGAGAAAATACATTATAACATGTCTACTTAAAACATGGAAACGGAATATTATTATATCAATTGTTGTGTGTGATGTAAGCATCCAACAATCCATTCAAAATGTGATAGAAATGAGTCGTTCATTTAGGAGAGATATTTATATGAATTTTTTTGATCTTTTGATCTTTTGAGCGATATAGTTTGAAAAAATCCCGATAAACTTTATATTATAATATTAAAAAAAAATGTGATAGACTTATTTGATTTGAGTTATGATGTCATTGTGTTAGTATACCAATAAAATATATTTCAAGTTCGAAATTAGTAGCCGAACCAAACCCCAAATTTTATCAGCATAAGCCCATATCTCCCAAGGACCCAAACCCCTAAATTCACCAGATTACGCCCAATTTCACCCAAAACCCTAAATTTATCACATCAGGCCCATTTATCCGCAAAACCCTAAATCGCGTTCCATATAAATTCCGTAACTCATCGATTCTCAAGCAGGCACTCTCTCTACCTACCCAGAAAAAAAAATGCCGGCAGGTCACGGTGTCCGGGCGAGGACGAGGGATCTCTTCGCTCGTCCCTTCAGGAAGAAGGGTTACATCCCGTTGACGACATATCTCAGGACCTTCAAGATCGGAGACTATGTCGATGTCAAGGTTAATGGTGCTGTTCACAAGGGCATGCCCCACAAGTTCTACCATGGCCGAACTGGTCGTGTCTGGAATGTCACCAAGCGCGCCATTGGTGTCGAGGTGAACAAGCAGGTAAAATTTCTCGCTCTGGTTCTGTTCTGAATTTGGCGATTTTCGTGTCGTATTTGTATGTTTCGATCTGTTGAAGGTCTCTTACTGCTGAATGTTGGATGTTGTGTGTACCCTTGTCCTAGTGTCCGTAAAGTTCTGATCTTTTTTTTTTGAATCTTTTGTTGTGTTCGGTTAGATTCTACTTGATGAAATGGGGATTCGTTTTATGGTAAATGAGATTAGAGTGTTCATTTTATATGATTTCGGTTTTCTGTACCTTGTTTTAGTTTTCAGTTCTGAAGTTGGGGGCCTGTAAAGCTTTAATTTTTCTATATTCAGTAATAATCTCATCGAAATTATGATGATTTCATTGAGGAATGAAGTAAATGTTCTGTACCTTGACTTAGTTTTTACATTTGAAATCTTTTTTACTCAGTAGTAATCTTCTTGATCCAATGGTCATTTTCTACGGGAAATGAGACTGTGTATTCATTGTGTGTGTGTTCATTGCTATTGCTCTTGACCCCAAGTTTGAATCTTTATTTTTTGCTTCACAATGTTTTTTGTCTTGCTTGCTAACATGAAGTTTCTCTATCCTTTTCTTGGCCTTGAGTTTAGCATATGGGTGGTTTTTGAATCCGTTTGTCAAGTCTGTTGATGCAAGAACATGTATAAATTCGATGATTTGTGATCCTGAGCTCGTTCTTGATGATGTTTTGTGAAAATCCCAGGTGGGTAACCGGATTATCAGGAAAAGAATCCACGTTCGGATCGAGCATGTCCAGCAATCGAGGTGCAACGAAGAGTTCAAGCTCAGGAAGCAAAAGAACGACCGGTTGAAGGCCGAAGCCAAGGCGAGAGGCGAAACCGTCAGCACCAAGAGACAACCCAAAGGCCCCAAGCCCGGGTTCATGGTCGAGGGCGCGACCTTAGAGACCGTCACTCCCATCCCTTACGACGTCGTCAACGATCTCAAGGGTGGCTACTGAGTTTGATCTCCCTCCCTCCCCCTCAGTTCAAGTTTTGCACTCTTTTTACCTGTGTTTTTCGGCTCTCTGTAATCTTCTGTGAAAAAACCATATGCTCATCAATGGAAATAGTCTTGGATTGTTACCATTGGGCATTATATGATTTTACTTCAGGTGGGTCACCGTTGTGAAAACAAATCCGAGTTTAGAGATATGACTTCTTACAAAAAAAATGGAGAATGGAGAATTAAGTGTAAATATTGTTGTAAATAAAATCACCAATGCAAATTAAAATATTTATTATATTCCAATCCAATTATGTCGGATATATTATATTTATTGTTTACTCAGTTTAGTTTTTAAAATCAAAATTTAAAAATGAAAAATAAAACTCTAGATGTTTCTTCTATATCAATTTTATAATTTTCAGATTTATAAATTCAGAAACCACAACCACATGATTATTTCTGTTTCGGCCCAACCCCCCAAACTTTGCCGAACCCAAAACAAAGACACGTTACAGAAAACACTGGAGGCTTCCCTGGTCTATTCACACACACAAAAAAAAACTCAGATCCAACGGTCGAAAACAACCCATCGTAATCTTCTGGTTCTAGAACCTTCCACGTGGCACTATATTTTCTTCCCCAACTCTCTCTCCTCTTAAACCCTTGTTTCTTATCTTCTTCCCCTACTCCACCCTCTCTTCGCTTGAATCTCTTCTACATCAGCTCCTCGACAACTTTCTTAGGGTTTCTTTCAAAATCCACTTCGTCTTCCTTCATCGTTTCTCGGCTTGATTCTTAGATTCTTCGCTTTTGGAATTTTGACTTCGTACACATTTCTATTCCATTCGTAGATGGCTTCCTCCGCCGCTCAGATTCACGTTCTCGGCGGAATTGGGTTCGCTAGTTCTTCTAATTCTAAATCGAAGAGGAATCTGGATGGTTACGGCAATTTCCCGCCGAGAAGCGCGTTCTTCGGGAGGAGAACCGGGCCTTTCTGTACACCCAGCTCCGCTTTCCTGAGAATCGGGAGGAGAAATGGCGGCGGCGCGTCTAGGTACGCTGTGGGTCCGGTGCGGGTTGTGAACGAGAAGGTTGTTGGAATCGATTTGGGGACGACAAACTCCGCCGTTGCTGCCATGGAGGGAGGCAAGCCCACGATTGTGACGAATGCAGAGGGTCAGAGAACAACGCCGTCGGTGGTGGCGTACACGAAGAACGGTGACCGGCTTGTCGGACAGATTGCGAAGAGGCAAGCGGTGGTTAACCCGGAGAACACTTTCTTCTCGGTGAAGAGGTTTATTGGTCGGAAGATGTCGGAGGTTGATGAGGAATCTAAGCAGGTTTCCTACAGAGTCGTGAGGGATGAGAACGGTAATGTTAAGCTCGAGTGCCCTGCAATCGGCAAACAGTTTGCTGCTGAAGAAATTTCAGCACAGGTATTGAAGTTTACCCTAATCCATTCATGTTATTGAACTAATCGTTAGTGGGTTGTGTTTCACTGGTTTGAGTTAAAGAAATTGTCTCTCTTCTGTAATTGTGATGGTTTACTGTGATCATCAAATTGTTGTGTGTCTGATACTTTAAACGGAAGATGTTATTAAGTATTGATTGAATTTAAGTTTGTTTCTTAGCCTATGTGTGATCAACCTCAAATAGGAAAACATTAAGCAAATGAGTTGCACAATGCACAATTCTGAAATTGTAGTAATTCCTATGTACTATCTGTCATATGCTGCTATTTTCATTTGAATATCCCTTTTGTTTTCCCATGTTAGGATTTTGCTTTTTAGTTCTCATTACTTCGTATCTTCTGTATATTGTTTTGCAGACATCAGGTTCATAGAAATAGAGTCTGTGTTGAGTTTCTTCAATTGCAGTTGTCATATGATTGATGAAACATTCCCAGTTCTTTTGTGTTGATGTTTTCTCGCGTCTGGTTTCTGACGTAGGTTCTGAGGAAGCTTGTTGACGATGCCTCGAGGTTCTTGAACGACAAAGTTACCAAAGCTGTAATCACTGTGCCTGCTTACTTCAACGATTCACAGAGGACAGCTACAAAAGATGCTGGTCGCATTGCTGGGTTGGAAGTTCTTCGGATTATCAATGAGCCTACAGCTGCTTCCTTGGCTTATGGGTTTGAGAGAAAAAGCAATGAAACAATTCTAGTCTTTGATCTTGGTGGTGGTACTTTTGATGTTTCAGGTAGATAACACTATTCTACTATGGGCAGCAAAATTCTTCTGACTCTATATGTAGTTTCCAAGAAAGATCTTTGCTTTTGACAATCTACTTTAGTAGTAAAACCTTCTGCAATTTTTCTTTGTTTCTTTTAATCAAGTGCTTGAAGTGGGCGATGGTGTGTTTGAAGTGCTTTCGACTTCTGGGGATACACATTTGGGAGGTGATGACTTTGACAAGGTGAGTAAGCACACAATTTTTTTCTTGAAGTCCCGAAAGCTGGATCTTTTTATGTTTGTGTTTGTTCTTATTTGGCTTAGCTGCATAATGAATTTGTGTTTTGCGATACAGAGAGTTGTTGATTGGCTTGCTGGAAGTTTCAAGAGAGATGAGGGGATCGATCTTCTGAAAGACAAACAAGCTCTTCAGAGGCTAACTGAGGCAGCTGAGAAAGCTAAGATCGAGCTTTCCTCATTGACTCAAGCAAACATAAGGTACAATTTCACCCATATCTGTTTACTATTTCTTCTGTGTTATGTAGGTTCTAATTGATGCCAACTCTGTTGCCAGCTTGCCATTTATCACTGCTACAGCCGATGGACCTAAACACATTGAAACTACCCTCACAAGGGCCAAGTTTGAAGAATTGTGTTCCGACTTACTTGACAGGTAATTCTACTGTTGGTCGTATGGATAGTAAAATAATCTTGAAGCGGGATTGCTATTTTCAACTCGCCAGACTCTTATTACTTCTGATTCACCATGAAACTATTCAGCGTCTTATGTATGGGTTCAACTTCTTAGGTGCAAGACTCCGGTTGAGAATTCCCTAAGGGATGCAAAACTCAGCTTCAAAGATATCGATGAAGTGATCCTTGTTGGTGGATCCACACGTATTCCCGCTGTTCAGGAGCTTGTGAGGAAATTGACCGGGAAAGAGCCAAATGTCACAGTCAATCCTGATGAGGTTGTCGCTCTAGGTGCTGCTGTTCAGGTCTGTTCCTCTTTTCCTGTATTTCGTATATACCCTTTGTATATTTGTGCCCTTAAAATCCTCTGGATAAGATTTTTTCGTACCAAATGATGAATACTTACCAATCGATATTGTCTCCTGATTTCAGGCCGGTGTTCTTGCCGGAGATGTGAGTGACATCGTTCTCCTCGATGTGACACCACTGTCGCTCGGTTTGGAAACCCTCGGTGGTGTTATGACCAAGATCATTCCCAGAAACACTACTCTGCCTACATCAAAATCAGAAGTCTTCTCAACCGCTGCTGATGGGCAGACAAGCGTCGAGATTAACGTCCTTCAGGGCGAGAGAGAATTCGTTAGGGATAACAAATCACTCGGCAGCTTCCGTCTTGATGGAATTCCACCTGCACCGCGTGGAGTTCCACAGATCGAAGTCAAATTCGACATTGATGCGAACGGGATTCTGTCCGTTGCTGCTGTGGACAAGGGAACAGGAAAGAAGCAGGACATCACCATCACTGGTGCTAGTACATTGCCTAAGGATGAGGTGCGTACATTTACACAACAAATCTTTTCGCAGGGTGTAACGGAAATTGACCCACAACTTGTTACCGACAACTTTTTGGTTTTCGTGATCTAACAAGAACACAACGATGGTCTAGCTTTTCAGCATTGGCTATTTCCCTTTCCCATATATGACGAGTGCGGGCATGGATGAATGTTGCAGGTAGACAAGATGGTGCAAGAGGCAGAGAGGTTTTCAAAGGAAGACAAGGAGAAGAGAGACGCCATAGACACAAAGAACCAGGCGGATTCGGTGGTCTACCAGACAGAGAAGCAACTGAAAGAGCTCGGAGAGAAAGTGCCCGGTCCGGTGAAAGAGAAGGTGGAGGCTAAGCTGCAGGAGCTCAAGGACAAGATAGCAAGCGGCTCAACCCAAGAAATCAAAGACGCCATGGCCGCTCTTAACCAAGAAGTGATGCAGATTGGCCAGGCTCTGTACAACCAGCCCGGGGATGCAAGCGCTGGATCTGGGCCCGGAGGCGCCTCTTCTGGAGCTGAGGCCGGACCATCAGACTCATCAGCTTCTTCGAGCAAAGGCTCGGATGGTGATGTCATTGATGCTGACTTCACAGACAGCAAATGAGAGCCAAAGGACCGTAAGAAAGATTTGACCGATTGGCCTCCAATTAATAAAACCATTACAAAAGGGTTATGTATAAACGTGATTTTGTAAGCTTGGATAATGGATTTGAGTCTGAATTTTTGCCAAAACACAGGAAAATCACAATCTTTTGGATCTTATTTGTAGCGGTAGTAAAGGCTAGAAGTTTATGATTCAGATCCAAAGAAACACAAGTTGTCCCGAAAGCAGTGCTGTCGCATATTATGTTATATGATACCATATAAGCAGGCAACATCGGAGGAGCCGTTTGACGTTTGAAACCTATAACAAAATATATTACATAGTACACGGCGAAAACGGGTTGGACGCCCGGGATCTCGAGGTGTTTGATTCTGAGTTCGAGTAGTTCGGGTCTTAAGTTTCGAAAACTGAATAGAAATGGTGTTTCAAATGTCCAGATACATAAGGTGAGGTTGAGCCCGGCAAAACCGTGGTTCATCGTGATGTGAATGAAGTCATCGCTTCCGTACACTACATCCTTCATGTTTTTCGTCCACACCTTTTCGCGGAGGAAACTTGCAATGGTTGGTCTGATCAGCCAACTGAATCTGAAGCCAAACTCGGGGAAGAAATCTTGCAATGCCCGACACGGAATCTGGACAAATCGTAACATATCAGCAAAGTCCTCGTTCCAGCGACTTTGCTTTTTTCGAAGCCTGGTATTGTTCACTATCCTTTTGTTCATCGGCAAAACTTAATATGATCAGATCGGTAGCGCTCTCTATCCTCTGATCCAAACTGGGTCGAGCACCAATTCGGGTCAATCACCACGGAAGGTTTGTGGTTTCATCGAGAAGGTGATGCGAACTGGAAGACGTGAAGATATTTCCCTCGCTGCTCTATTCCCTTGTATTCATCCAAAGACCTTTTTCTCGCCCGAATAACTCCATGAATAAGGTCTCGCTTTCGTAAACTCTCCGACTGGTTCATGAGGTGAATGTACCTATGCCGCATACCCATCAATGGATGCTTCTCAATCAAGAAATCTTTACTGTAAGCCTCTCTTAGCACAACGGTCTGCGTCCGGATCTTGTTCGACAAGTAAAAGATCCCGGGATGGTGCATCAAAGCCTTCCTAAACCTCGTTCCGAACCCTAAATAATCCCCCAAGCAAAGCAAATTGTCTCTCTCCGTCTTCTTCGAAACCAGTAGCCATAGAAGCTCATATAGCACTGCCACCGTCCACTTCTCCGCCTGATCGCTGCTCGGCCCCAAGTGAAATGCATCTTCGTAAGGCGAAATGTAGGGAAGATCTTGCCATTGATCCACCCAATTCCTCACCCTTTTCTCCAAATCATACCCTTTGGGGAAATTCATCGAAAACCTTATGCGCAGTCCTTTCTTCAACCCAAACTTACCATTCAACGCCTCTCTACTCTCCATTTCCGACACTGCGAGGTTGTTTCTCCATGAAACAATCCCCAAAGCAAGCGTCTTTTCACCGGTCAAGTGATCGTCGATCTCCGCCACGTCAAAATAATCTGGGTAATCGCCGATTAACGATGTTAGATAATCGTGGGGGAGACCCAAATCGAACCTGAATCTATCTACAACGTACAGAGGCAATTTCCCAGCTCTCGTGAGCATCAAGAGCTTCGTCAACCTCCGAACGACGTCGCTCCGATGACCCAGTGAGTCGTGAACCGCTTGTTCTTCCTTGTGAACTACGACGGCCTGTGGAGTGAGTCGGGCGTGAAGAGGAAGGGACGGCGAAGACTGGAATGTAGTAAAAACGGAAGGGTATCGCCGGAAAAACGATGCGGCGGATTCAGGGAGGCCGACGAGAGGTTTGAGGGGAGAGAGGGAAGAGAGAGGGAGAGATTTTGAAGGAGAAGAGATTATTCGATCCTTGAGAGAGATAAGTTGCTTGAGATTCTTCTCTCGTTGAACGGCTTCGTCCAGGAACGGATCGCGAACCCATTTGACCCTCGCGTTGATGAATGAGCGGATCTGTTGCAGATTGCGCGGGAGATTGAAGGCTGAGAGAGCCGCCATTGAAGCTCGAAGCCAAAACGTGGAGTTATTGTTCAAGTGATTCATAGACTACAAAGGTCACACGTGCCAACTTTCAACCTAAAGAGGGTTGACCTAGAAAACATTTTAAGCTGACGTGTGGTAATTGGGATTAATTTTGATACAAAAATACCTTTTAAGATTTTTATAATTTAAAACTATGAAATTTTAAAGACTAAACCTTAATCTGATATAAAAACGATAAGAATCTCATAGTTTTTTTTTTAACAAAATAAATATACGTTCAATTGTTAAGGATTCGAAAACAAGGATGAATCAATAATCAGTTTTCGGAATTATTCAATATTATTGAAATCGTTATGGCATCGTAGTTAAAGAAGTTGTCCTTTTACATATCGGGAAAGATCATTGATGTATTATTTTCAAATTAATTTTGATTTATTTATTTTTACTAAAAGGATGAAAACAATATATGAGAAGGTAAACGTAATTTATATCTGTATACCATATTAGATTGGTTTATATAACTATAAAAAGATGATAATGGTAACAAAATAGAACGAATTACCCGATTGGAGTTGGCCAAATGATTCTTGAGAAAAATAGGGATGCCTTATCCCATTTATCCCATGTTTGAGTAACCGTCAGTGTCGCATCCAGAAATTTTTTTTAACGGGACAACAATTATAAATATAATATAAAATATAAAAAATTAATAAAAATATATCATCTTTTATCAAAATATATATATATCATCGTAATAATATTTTTTGTTTTACAATTAAATTCTATCTTCTTTTATTTTTAAAAATCCGTCGATAACAATTTTATTTATAACTTTTTAAAATATTTTTTCATATGAAACAAACTATACAATCATTCAAAAGCTGATCATCAATTCGATTGTACAAACTGTTTTAACTGAATTCAAAACTGTTATATATATAAATGAGCAATTTTGAATTTATCTTGTTAAATAGATCATTAAATTTTTGATAATGTAATTTTTTTAAAAAAAAAAAATTATCAATTTTTTTGTTAAATCAATTGTGAAATTTATATAAAAACAAATTTTTATTATGATAAAAATATAAAAACAAATGAATAAAATATAAAAAATTACTTAAAATAAAATTCAGAATACTTACATATTTTGTTGGTTTTAGTTATTTAGATTTGATTATTATTGAACATATAATTTTTTTTATTTGATAAAAGGTTAAATAGAAATAATTTGGAGTTGGAAAATAAATTTAAAAAATGAAGGAGAATGTGAGATTGGTAAGAAAAAAAATTGGAAAAAAGATTTAGGGTTAAAAAATAGAGGGGGTACCACTTAAATTTTAATGGGGGGCATTGTTACAATTTAATCAAAATTATAAGTAATATTTCTTTTCTTTTTTTAAATATGAAGGGGAGTAAGTGCCCCACTTATACATAAGTAGATCCATCCATGTATATATATTGGGTATGAATGTGTGTATGTGTATGTAAATGTATATGTATGTATATGTGTATGAATATGTGTATATATATGTATATGTGTAATATATGTATATATAGATATATAGATATATGCATATGTATAATATAGTTTTTATATTTTTTTAAATTAAAAAAATATCTGCGATAGAATGATATGTCACAAAACTCCGTCGCAAAATTGCGATAGATTGACGACCGATAAATTTTTGCGACAACGTTATACGGACAGAAATAATTCTGTCGCAATCTGTTGCAAATTTTTAATTGCGACAGATTCGCTTTGTAAAATCTGTCGCAAATTCGTGTTTTTCTTGTAGTGATTGTAAGAAATTATACAGATGTATGATACTCTCTATATATATTTATGATGTACGATACATATATAATATTTAGAGGGGGGAGAATTATTTTGGACTCTTGTTTGCCCTTTTTAGGTCATGCATATTTTTTTTTTGGGTAAAGGGTATCTGTATAAATTAGAATGCAACATATGTATATAGAAGGACGAGATAGTTCAACATTGTTGCGAATCGTTTATCCATTTTTTTTTCTAATAATGGAGTCGGTTATTTTGTTATTTAAATAAAACGTAGATAAGATTCTACCATGAAATTACTAGAGCAAGAGTGCGCGTAAAAATATATACTAAAATCCATCGATGGGTAAAAACCAAGCTTCTCTTGAGTTGGAATGGAAATATGGATATCGAGTTTGATTATATTCTATAAAACTATGCCTTTTGAATAAGATTCTTATCTTCCCTATTCGGTGGCCCCCACTCCGTCCTTGGATTCCGAGTTAGGATCTTGAAGCTTTAGGATTCGAAACCATCATTGCATTTATTAAGATTTTATAACATTAGAAACACAAATCGGATATCCGGATAATATATTTTTTTTATAAGACGGATTAAACAATTATACTGCTAGATGATTATAATATTTTCATTGTTTTAGGTTAAAAATTTATCATTTCTCAATATTTGGATTAAACATTTCTTATTTCTCAATGTTGTCTCTATAATTATAACTTTAATTTTTTTACATAAATATTGCTGTCTTTTTTGTTAAATAAATCTAGTCCCGGATATCTACGAATATCCGGGACATTTGTTTTGGATATTGGCATCCCGAATACCTATAATTTTGAATTCGAGCGAGTCTCTCATATACAAATCCAAATACTCCTATTTTCGTCAGGTCGGGATATAGATAATCGCCGATCGAAATCCGAACTCGAACCCGAATTTTCGTCAGATCCATAAAACATGGCACTTTGATCGTTCACCTCGTGGATTCAATTTTCATACCCGGGTTTATGTGTAAAATCTCATCGAAGAACGCAAATGTTATTTCATCCTGTAAAGAGAAGGCAAATGTGGAACACAACAACAAAACCAGAGTTCTATAGATTCCACTGTCGGATCACAGTAGCTAATAAGTGATACGGATTCAAATCGACTTTGGACACAGCATCAATCTTCACCAATTGTATCAGTTCAGAGTAAATCGATGTACAAAACCTTCCAGACTGTGCCAAAAGAGCTATCTCTTGCCATCTTTCTTTGTTCCAACATTGCCATCATGGTGTTCATCATCATCATCATCAGATCTGTGGTTGTGATCGTCTTCGTCGTCAGATTCAGGAGAAGGGTCGAGACGTGCAGCGTCCATGGCCCATTTGATCACCTTCTCCACTTCGTCTTCTTCCTCCTCCTCTTCTTCTTCTCCTCCTCCATCGCCATCCCGAGGTATCGCCGAAACAGATGAAGACGACGACGACGACGAAGCAGGAAGAGAAGCCTTCAGAGCGGCGAATCTGGCCATGAGATCGTCTTGGGTTTCTCCCACATCCTCCGATCTGGGCATCTGCTTCTCCTCCGGCCGCCTCCCCCGCTGATTGTTCTCCGGCGCTGGCGCGGCAGAGGTTCGAGATCGGAGGGTGTTGAATCGGCGGCGGAGATCGGGGTCGAGGTAATCGGAAGA